CTGTCAGAGATCTCTCAACACTACATACACATATGTCACACACACACACAGGCCGAGAGTGATCATAGACACTATATAGTGCACGCGAAGATAGTGTCTCTATCTATCTCATACACATAGTGATTGGACAGAGAGGAGACACAGGCTGAGGGAGATGGAGTTTATTGAGCGCGTGAGGAGGGAGATGGGATCTCAGAGTGGGACGAGTAGGTCTATACCACAGGGAACTAATTTTATATGAGCTGTAGTAGAGGAGGTTGTGGTGTACTGTTAGGAGTACTGGGTGTCATGAGGTTTATGGGTCAAGGGGGGAGGTTGAGGGAGATACAGGGTCTGGTATGGGGAGGGGGTACGGCAATTTCACACACACACACACACACACTACATGGAGGGGGAGGTTATGACATTTTAGGGATTCTGTGAGGGAGTGGTTTTGAGTGAGGAGATAGTGAGATGGGAGTGGGGGAACTATGGGAGATAAAGGAACAAGATTGGTGGGGGATGCTGTATATAGTTTGGGGGAATTCGAGGAAGTTTTTTTCTAGGATAATCAGAATTTGATAGGTGGTGAGTGGAAGGAGACTAATTGAAGTGAATGGAGGAAAAATTTTTGTATGGGAATCTATGGTGGTTGGTTGGTCTCTCGTAGGGTGGGAGAGTGATGTGGAATTAACATAAGTAATATTATATTTACGGAGGCCAGTTGGCGATAGTAGTACACGTCAGCTCTTCAAAACAGCATGACACTTCAAGCGAGGCATCTGAGTCACATGAGTGTAGGTGTTAAACGTCTGTTTTGTAGGTATGTATAAAGATGATTGGCGACGGGGGATAGAGAGAACTGTATTAACACACAGAGTCTAACACCTATACGAAGACGAAGCGAGAGCATCCATGCTTAAGTTTTCTATTATATGTATGTATCAGAGCGATGTCGAAGTGGGTGGCGCAGGACTAAATGGGATCACGAGATGAGACAGCTCGTTGTAGCGGAGAGAGCACAGGCTCGACAGAGTAGCATTTAATTAGCGTGTAGTTGGTGGTTACCTCTACACAGGACTGATCATGTCGACGGACTACTAGGATACTATGATTATGAGAGTTATGTAGACAACGAGGACACATGGGACAAGGTACCATCAGAGTATCGCTTACACATGGGGACTACACATGCAAACACGGAGGTGGGAGACGGTCACAGGACGCGCGTAAGTATGCGGCTCGCTACAGTATGTAGGAGTAAAACACGAAAGAGGAAGTGATGGGTGGGATAGAGCTCCGCATGGGGTGCGGAGGGATTCATATCGAGAGCTAGGGGTGCTCTTTTATAGCGGGCATGCTCTTTTACTGTTAGGGCGGAGGAGGATAATACAGAGATCTGTCAGTGAGAGTTTAATACTACTATTATTTACAAGAGTCGGAAGAGATCGACGTATCGAGTAAATCTCAAGAGCGAGTGAGATCGAACAGGAGTGTAATAATGGTCATAGAAGGGTGGAGGCGTTCTTTGATGGATCGGGTATGGGAAATTCTGATGATAGAGATAACGTTATTGACAACAGGCTGGGAAGCGTATCTATTCTGAAAGTTCTTGCCGCGACGTGCGGTGAAGTAATTTGATGTTATTTCTATTGATAGTATTTACGTCAGGTCTATCTACATGAACATGTGATAATTATTTGTTTGCATCTATTAGTTTCATATATGACTATGACGGTAGTATGTTGTGCATGAGTGGTGAGTAGTGTGAGAGTTGTAGTTGTTGGGGTGTATCTCATCTAGGATTGGGTCGGTGTGTGTTGTTGAATTTATTGGAGTTGTCTGTGAGAGTGAAGTGGAGTGAGTAGGAGGGAGTGACATATTTTGTTTTAAGGGTGCATATAGAGACTTACTCTCATCTCTGCACTCTAGAGGATGTCACACTTAACGAGCGAGTCTATTTTGTAGCTGCGTTGTGAGTGTAGAGTGTGGAGGGAGAGGAGGTGAGTGCGGGAGGGGGACAGTGAGGGAAGGTTACGTGTTGAGAGGTTATCAGCGAGGTAACTATCATAGACCAACACACACACACACACACACTGAGAGACGTCTCTCTCTACCTACATCGTGGATAGTGTTGAATAGTAGTACGGTAGGGACATAATCTATCTATACGATCTCTCTTATTAGTGACACATGGGAATTGAACTGTGAAGAGAGTAGAGGTTCTGACACTGAGTTGATTAAGTATTTATTCTCTATCTCTCTATTATCAGATAAGGTGAGTAACTATAGATGAGGAATGTATAAGAACAATAAGCGATCAGAAGACAAAGACTCAAAAGAGGACAGACACACACAGTACTGACAGAGTGACTATGAGGGGGTCGTATCGAATTGTCATCATTTACACAATTATGTACGATTCGAGGTGTGAGTAACGACACTTAGTTCTTATACAATTTTGGTGACTACCTCAAGACTGGTTCATTGCGACACCAGATGATTGGAGATGTGACGAGAAAAATGATCTTATCTAGTTATGCACTAGGAGACATGGATACACATGAATTGTCTAGGATTACAAGGACTTATGAGGTGGGCGTGGTTATACTAAGAAAACAGGGTATCATTTGGATTATGTAGGACAGGGGGGTGGGGAATGGACAGACGTATGATAGGACTGAGACGTGAGACAATGAGTACAGAAATATGACGTTATTATTGTGACAATGAATAGTGAAGTGGTAGAGAGAAAGCACATAGGAAAAAGGAGTTGACACATGAGAGACAGAGAAGGGGGCAATGAAACAGATGATGTGAAATACGCGGTAGAGGGGAGGGTTGAGGAGCGGGTGGGAGAGGATGGGGTGGAAGTGGGATATGGGACAGATCGATAGGTGATCTCAAGGACGGGGGGGGGGGGGGGGCGGAGGGGGGGTGAGGAGGTGGGGGTTGGGGGGGGGGGCATGGTGATGGATATAATGGGGTTATAGAACATAATGATGAGGGAGAGTGAGACATACATTGTAGATTGTGGGACACTCTGGGTACGTGAGATTACTGAGGAGTGAGTAGGGGAGCACAAGAAGGTAAGAGGTATGACTATAGGTGCAAGAGATGTGATAGGAAGTGGTGTACGTTAAATTTCTGTGAGAACAACTGATGTGATAAGAAAATGAAGGATTATTAGAAATAGAGGGGAGAAAATGATCTTATTTGTTGATGTAGAGATTTAAGAACTGAGAGTTCTAGTATGGCATATGGAAAAAGCAAGTGATATGGACAAATGAGCGTCTATGGAAGATAGTGATGAAGGATAGGGTTTTAAAAATGAAGAGAAATTTGAAGAAAATAGAGAAGAATGAAGAAGGGGAAAGAGGAAAGGAGGGGAAATATTGGGGGTTAAGGATGGGTGGAGAGAGGAGAAAATAAGGAGGGTTAGAAACGAAAGAAGGTGAGAAGGGTAGAGGGTAGAAGGAAAGAGGGATTTGAATGTGATTTTAGGGAAGGGATGTAATTGGAGGTGAAATGAGTGAGAGGTATGATGATAGGGATAGTGGGGGAGAGGGAAGGGGAGGAAGGGGGGGGGGTGGGGTAGGAAGGATGGGGGGGGGAGGGGGATGAGGGTGGAGGGGTAGGGGGTGATGAAGGGGGGTTGGGGGGTGGGTGAGGGAAGGGTATGGGGAAGGGGGGTGGGGGGTGTTGGAGATGGATTTGTTTTGGTGGTTGGTGGTTGTGTGTGAATTTGGATTTTAGGATGTTTGGTAGGATTATGATTTGGTTGGTATAGGGTGGTTAACACAAGATACATACTCGTTTGTGACGTCACGGTGCGGTATCGGCTGCTGATCAAGTCCCAGTGCTGTATCTGGTGTTTGTCACAACGCGCTGTTATACAAGTCATCTTGAAACCATTCTTCTTCCAATTGTTGCCTATATATCACATGTTATTTTTTTCTCTCGCCAGAAGTTCGATGGCAAATCCTCCCTTTTCAAGTTGGCAATCCAACGACAAACCCGACCGTGGAGGATCAGGAATCGGAAAGGTGAAATAACTAATATTTTTTCATTTTTACCCGATGTATTCCAACAACCAGCTGCCTTGCACGTGGGCATTGTCAGTTTAAATATAGCTCTGGTGAATTTCAATGGTGAAGCCCTCTGGAAATCTTCAATAATTGTTGTTGATTGCAGATGTGTCTAGTAGTTCCCATTGATTTTGCTTGTAAAGCGGGGAGAATGGTGCTAGGCTTACCGCACCGTGAGGTCACTGCTGGAAGATGGCAGGAGGGAGGGGTTACTATATTTGGGCAAAAATAGCCGCTCCCAGACTCAGTGATCACAATGAAAATTATTATCTTACTGATTAACACTAAATTCATTAAATCACAGTGAACGTATTAGTTTTAGGTATAGATAATGATCTATTGATCATTCCTTGCTGACCAGACTTTTCCTTCAAACCCTCAGACTCAATATTCTTATAAATGCAACAATAGATTTTCATCAACAAGGTAAGGTCTTCTTTCTTTTAAAGCTTTCTTTTTTTTTTTTTAGGATTTATTTAGTCATTTAGTCACCGATGAATGTTCATCATCATGATAAATATTATCATAAATCCTGGCTGCATTGCTTTCTTAAATAGAAAATGCTATCATAACTAACTTGGACTTGTGTCAACAAGAAATCACCCTTTTCAAAATGTATTTTAATTTACTAACTGATCTACCAATCACCAAAATGTGTGGTCTCATGTGTGGAATGAGGTACATTGAATACATAGATAGCAATAAATAATCTAAATAAATGAAAACAGGTGAAGGGCAAAGTCAGTGTCTTCAATGATTAAGATCCATTGACTTTGAAGCACCAGTGAACCACAGCGAGGTGAATATTTACAAATGAAGAAAAAACCTAAGAAAATATGGTTTTAACTAATGAAGAGTTGATTTTGAACTATTCCTCTTAGTGTTTTTTTTATTTCTGAAAAATCTAAGCTGAAAAAATATATAAAAGTGTACCTGATGGTTTAAAGCCAGTCAGCTGCACCTCCTGTAAATAAACAAAACAAACATACACATATTAAATATTAATATTTACCCTCTAAAACTTACAGAACATGTAGACATTATTTGGTTGACTCTTTCGTTGCTGTGAGAGGAATTCTTGATAAAAAAATCCATACCATTTCCCTTTAAATGGTGACATATTTGTAAAAGGATTCTATTTTATTGGATGGGTGTGTGGAAGAAAATAAAAACATAATTTCTGCCAATTCCAAGCATACATTTCGGCCTATTTTTCTTGTTTTAAGCTTCTGATACCTCAGAAACACAATAATTAGTTCCCTGATCAGCAGCTCCTATAGCATAAAGTCTGCTACAGAGTTGATGTGGTTTTTGCTTCAAAAAAGTAAAAAAGCAATCCACTGGACCAAGTTTGAAGACGTTTCTTTTCCCATTCAGGAAGTTTTTTTCAATTCAAAATGTCAGAAATAGCGTTGAGTTCAAGGCTTTATACCAGAGGTCACGGATTAGCAGACCAGGGTCTGGATCCGGACCCACCTGCTGGCTAATCCTGACCTAACCTGATTTAAAATTTTTATAAATTACTGCATGTTGTCCGATGACAGTTTCTAACTTCACTTGCGCCGCTTCTCCTGTTAACATGGTAAAGCCCTCCAGAGCGTCCAGGACCAGGCTACACATGATACAAATTAGCCAATGAGCTGTCAGTCTGGGTTGCTGCTGCTGCTACTTTTAGACACAGCAGGCAAACCTGTGGCAAGCCGGGCGATGGGAAAGAAGGAGAAGACGATGAGAAAAAGAGAGCAGAGAAAGTTTGGACTGTTGGAAGAACTGCGGTGAACTGGTGAAAGAAAACTGTAATGGCGTGCTTAAAGATGACCCTGCAAATTGAGAGGATGTTTGGCTCAACCTGCTGCTGTGAAGCAGGATTCTCCACCATGAACATAATCAAAAAATAAATATGGATCCAGGCTCAAAATGAGCACCTTGATATGTGCTTGAGAATGGCTTTGTCGCCGTTCCATCCCAGTTTTAAAAGCCTCGCAGCGCAGCGTAGAGCCCACTGCTCTCATTTAGCCTTAAAGAAGAAAGCAAGAAAAAAGACAAATGTGAATCAAGAAATTGTCTAAATACCAAACTGAACGATTGGTGTTCTCAACTTGAAAAAACATTTTAGATTTTAAAATGGAAAAAAGTATAACATGGATGCATATTCACCTAATTTTATTTCAGTGTTCTGTTCAAAGTAAAAGATTATAATTAAATAGACTTGGCCTTTAATACATAGGGCTTGTCTATAGGCAGTAGGGTTGTCACGATACTAACCTTTTAACTTGATACCGATACTAAGGAAAATATTCGATACTCGATGTCATTTTCGATACCACAAGGATAAAAACAAACTCCAAAATTAATACACAAAATACAATAAATAGATAATTAAATACAATAAACATTATTTTGAGGTTGTATGCTGTGCACAATATTAAGCAAGCCTGATAAAAAAACTTACAAAATTCAAATGAAGTATTCCTTCCTTGGCTATGCTTTGCACACATAACAATGACACTAGCCAAACCAGTTAAAAAACAAAAATAATTCTCAGCAGCTGCACCTGTTACAGAAAAAAGTCTGAAACCGAAAAGTGCACAGAATTATTTAATCACACAGTGTTCAGAAAGTGCATTTTCCCCTATTCTGCTCTTAAGATGAATGACTGTTTAGGTGCCACTGGTGGTAGCACTGTATCGATACTTTTGAAAATGAGTATTGTATACAACTTGTATACAATGGATACAACTTTTCAGTATTGATACTTTTTTGAGTATCGATACTTTTGACAACCCTAATAGGCAGCACTTTCTGCTTCAACAATGCAACATTTGATTGATCTATATAGAGCTGTTCCTTTGCAGGGCTGTAGCATTTTATGGCAGGAGCCATAATACCAACTTCAAATTGAAAGTCAATCCTCATAACTAGAGATGTAAAAGCAACATTTTTTCTAAAGCAGACAAAACCAAAAGACCCTGTCAACACTTAGGAGTTTTAGATTTCTACAGTCTTTGTCTGCAGACTATAAGGGTGACAACTTTGGAACACACTTTAGAAAATAACCCTACTATGACTGCCTTTGCCATTAGATGCATTTGCACAAGTAAACTAAAACCTGGGCTTATGGAGGAGTAGCAATAAATTGATGTTCTCCCTGTAGCCAAACGGCTTGTAGGGCAGAAGTGTGGAAAATAAAAAAAACGAAATGCAGAGCTAACTGTCGCACCAGTGAGGATATTATCTTTTTTTAGGAAGCAGTATGATGGTGTGGAACAGCTTGTCATCATGAGAGGCATCTCAATGCAGCAATCTGTCAGGGTTCTTGGCTCCGTTGTCTGTTTTTTCCCCTTTGCTCCCAAGTGTGCAGGTTCAACATCTGCTCAAATGTCTTTCTGCCTCTCTACAGTGGTGTACCAATCCAGAAACACAGAGGTTTCATTTGCTTTCCTGTATGAGGCTCAGAGGCTTTACTGTGGCAGTTTCAAGATGAAAGGTCATTGGAGCGGATGGAATGGTTCTCCTGTAGAACTGAAGTTAAACCTACTCGAAACTTACGCGATCAGTCCAATGCAATCATTGCAACGCTAACCCCTTTACAAAAGAATAGAAGATCTTGTCTATTCAGACAGGCCAACAATTCCTTTTATGACACCCCTTTTAGAGACATAGACAGGTATGGGGCATTGCAGGCTAACAAAAGAAGCCAAACGACCCCCATTCCAAAGGGGTGGACCCGTTCGTCCATTTCAGTTTGCATGTTTTCTAAACAAAAACAAGGCTTTGTTGGGCAACTGTATAAAGCCTCGAACTCAACGCTATTCTTGAAATTTGTAATTGAAAAAGCTTCTTGGATGGGAAGCCGAACGTCTTCAAACTTGGAAAGTCCAGTGGATGGTTTTTGGGACTTTTTTGGGATGACTATGACCTGAATGACTGAGAATCTTCACCAATGTTTTGATGATGATGTTAGTGGTTAGGTAACAAAAAGAGAAAACATACATATCAAACCAGGACATGTAGCATGGGCAGAATGTGAAAAACAAAAGGAAACCCAGTAAAATGTTATATGTTAAGGAAAGAGCTGAGAATGATATTTAATTCAGGTGAGATAATCAGGGGATTAGGGACAGCTGTGAAAGAAAGCAGGCAGGAAGACTGAGCAAAGGTAAATACAGGTGCTGGTCATAAAATTAGAATATCATGAAAAAGTAGATTGATTTCAGTAATTCCATTTAAAAAGTGAAACTTGTATATTATATTCATAAATTACATACAAACTCATATATTTCAGATGTTTATTTTGTTTAATTTTGATGATTACAAATGACAACAAATGAAAATCTCAAATTCATCATATCAGAAAATTAGAATATTACTGAAGACCAATAAAAACAAAGGATTTATAGAAATGTTGGCCAACTGAAAAGTATGAACATGAAAAGTATGAGCATGTACAGCACTCAGTATTTAGTTGGGCCTCCTTTGGCCTGTATTACTGCAGCAATGCGGCGTGGCATGGAGTCGATCAGTCTGTGGCACTGCTCAGGTGTTATGATAGCCCAGGTTGCTCTAATAGTGGCTTTTAGCTCTTCTGAATTGTTGGGTCTGGTGTATTGCATTTTCTTCTTCACAATACCCCATAGATTTTCTATGGGGTTAAGGTCAGGAGAGTTTGCTGGCCAATTAAGAACAGGGATACCATGGTCCTTCAACCAGGTACTGGTAGCTTTGGCACTGTGTGCAGGTGCCAAGTCCTGTTGGAAAATGAAATCTGCATCTCCAAAAAGTTGGTCAGCTGCAGGAAGCATGAAGTGCTCTAAAACTTCCTGGTATGTGGCTGCGTTGACCCTGGACCTCAGAAAACACAATGGACCAACACCAGCAGATGACATGGCACCCCAAACCATCACTGACTGTGGAAACTTTACACTGGACTTCAAGCAACGTGGATGAAGTGCCTCTCTTCTTTTCCTCCAGACTCTGGGACCTTGATTTCCAAAGGAAATGCAAAATTTACTTTCATCAGAGAACATGACTTTGGACCACTCACCAGCAGTCCAGTCCTGTTTCTCTTTAGCCCAGGCAAGACGCTTCTGACGCTGTCTGTGGTTCAAGAGTGGCTTGACACAAGGAATGCGACAGCAGAAACCCATGTCTTTCATACGTCTGTGTGTGGTGGTTCTTGAAGCACTCACTCCAGCTGCAGTCCACTCTTTGTGAATCTCCCCCACATTTTTGAATGGGTTTTGTTTCACAATCCTCTCCAGGGTGCGGTTATCTCTCTTGCTTGTACACTTTTTTCGACCACATCTTTTCCTTCCCTTCGCCTCTCTATTAATGTGCTTGGACACTGAGCTCTGTGAACAGCCAGCCTCTTTAGCGATGACCTTTTGTGTCTTGCCCTCCTTGTGCAAGGTGTCGATGGTCGTCTTTTGGACAACTGTCAAGTCAGCAGTCTTCCCCATGATTGTGTAGCCTATAGAACTAGACTGAAAGACCATTTAAAGGCTTTTGCAGGTGGTTTGAGTTAATTAGCTGATTAGAGTGTGGCACCAGGGGCCATCAATTTTGAACCTTTTCACAATATTCTAATTTTCTGATATGATGAATTTGAGATTTTCATTTGTTGTCATTTGTAATCATCAAAATTAAACAAAATAAACATCTGAAATATATGAGTTTGTATGTAATGTATGAATATAATATACAAGTTTCACTTTTTAAATGGAATTACTGAAATCAATCTACTTTTTCATGATATTCTAATTTTATGACCAGCACCTGTAATTAACACAGAGGGGTCAAACTAAGACCAGAATATACAACTAATCAATTGAAAAACACCAACATGACTCTAGAAAATATATGTTTGAATGTGCAAACAACAGAGCATATGAAAAAACGAAGAAACTAAAAACAAAAGAATGTTCTTTCAAATTAGTAAAACTTTGCAAGTGATCAAAACACAATGAAAGCTAAAGCATCCAAGGATCATAGCAACAAATGTATTTTCACTCAAACACAACTTTCCTTACTTACTGTATTGTGCTTAGGATTTAAGAAATAATTCATTAGTGTGCCCCAAATGTTACTCACTTGGTTTCCTGATGCTTGTCTCAAAGAAAAACTGACAAAGCTTTCTTTTTTGAAGCTCTCTGAAAGAAGCAGAAGATAATACCCTTTTCAGCTAAATGTTTGGTTTTGTCTCAGGATCGACACGATGGTTTATGCAAGGTCAAAACAAGTAAGTCAGCCTGAACATAATACAAGCAGAGCTTTTTAGAACAGACAAAGAGAAGCTAAATGCAAACAGTCAAAAAGAAAATAGAAAGAAATCTGTTCATTCCATTATTGATATATTTGCTTTGATTTGTTGTTGTGTTTATTGTCTTTATGCCACATTGCATGTTAGATACACCAGACTGAAATGACCACTCCATTCTTAGCATCCTGAATATCAACCATGGTTAAGTTGAAGATATCAGCTGGGAGTATCTTGCACATTTTATCAACTGTCTTTAAAATGGAGAGAAAATGAAAAGGTGGCTCCCCCATATTTCTTTCTCTACCACTGACAAGTGCTGTAAAAAATATTTTTAGGAAAAGAATAGGATAACATTGCATCTGTTCGCATTTGTTGGTTTTGACCGACTGATTAAAACAATATATCTTAAGATGTCCCTAATCCAATTTATCTATAAAAACTCCAATATTTTAGGCCTGCATCACATGAATTATAGGATTTTAACATATAAATATGATGTAAAAAAATGATTAGGGTACTTCATTTATTATTTTTTAGCTTAAGGTTAAATACAGTTATATCAAAACATGGATAAAAAGAAAATTCACAATTCTAAAATGTGTCAATCCACATTATAATGCAAAACTAAACTGTTTTCGTAAACTTAGTTAGTAGGCAGCATTTCATTGACAGATATTGGTATTATTGGCAATTTATTGTGTTTCCTTAAATAATATTAAATGTAGCATCGCATTTTGACCCTCTAATCAAATGTTACATATAAGGATAATTTCAACCTTTATATTTTAAAACAATATGAACTATATAACTATATAACTATATAACTCAATCAATAATATTTAGACCTAGGTTTGTCCAAGGCATTATTAGTGTAGAATTGCGGCTCCCTGGAGCTTTTAAAAAATTTATGAACATTTTCTTTGGTTTATTCTAATGCTGTAAACATTTGTATAATAAATACATTTAAACAATAAATGTAAACATTTCTTTCACCAAAAATTTGCATCATTGCCATAGGGATCAGTGGTCATAGCCTGCAACAGATGTTTCAGTGCCAGGGATACAAAGCAGTGGGTGTGTCTCGAACCATGGATTCCAAAGAGGAAAAAAAGAAAGATAGCTGATGAGAAGAGAGAATTCAAAGAAGAATTGACCGAATGATTTGCATTACTAATGCGGAAGGAATGCCTGCATTTTTTGCTTTGTAATTAGAGTTTGTCAAAAAAAAAATAAAAACAGTAATTTGGAAAGTGATTCCCCAGGAAGGCAAGCTAAATATGCAGCCGACCACCAAGTTGGGAATGACAGAAAAAGTGTGATTGGGGAACTTCTGGATAAATTACAGGAGCGCAAAGATAGATTTAACTGCTACTGCTGCAAGTTTGTTTGCAAGCATGGAAAACCGTCCACAGATCTGACAGGTAGCGCTCTGATGCAGGGATTCAATTCAATTCAGTTTATTTATATAGCGCCAATTCACAACACAAGTCATCTCAAGGCACTTTACAGTTCAACCAGATCATACAGTCAAATTGATTCTAAGTGTTCTATCTAAGGAAAACCAGTTGATTGCATTTACTCATTGACTCAAATACAATCCTTCACACTAAGCATGCTTGTAGCAACAGTGGAGAGGAAAAACTCCCTTTTAACAGGAAGAAACCTCCAGCAGAACCAGGCTCAGTGTGAGCGGCAGTCTGCTGAGGCCGACTGGGGTTCAAGAAAACAGAAGCAGAGACACAAAAAGCAGCAATAAAAGGCCGCCCCGTCCAGGACACACACAGCCAGGCAGACGAGCTCCGAGCCAGCTTCCATGTCAGAGGATGAAGAGAGCACATCCAGCCAGTCACAGTCAGGGATGGGAACTTTCTTCCATTTCCCCCCCAAAATAATCAAAATGAAAATAACACCAAGGATTGCTGGTGACGGAGGATCTGAGATGTTGGTGTTAGAGAGCACTGCTCTGATGGATGTCAGTTCCTACTTGGTTTCTTATGACTCCGTCAACTCCTCCCAACAGAAACACGGCCGCCGTAGAAAGATTCCTTTATCATGTTTCTATCATTTCCTCAATGCAGGTGAAGCGGCGTACGGTGAATACCACTCGGTGAGTGTGTTCATTGTTCCTCCCTTACCTCATGCTACTATGTGACATTTGCTCTAGGATAAACATTTAATCATTAATGCTTATTATGTTATTTAAGCCCACTAATTCCTTTTTTTTATAGTGGGCTGATAAACTAAGAGCCCTCATTGCCACAAGGCTTATATAAGACTCTTACATTTTTGCGGCTCCAGACAGATTTGTTTTATGTTTTTTTTTGGTCCAATATGGGTCTTTGAGCAGTTTATGTTGCCGACCCCTGGCGTAAATATATTGCTGTTACCCCTGTTGCAAATACTCAGGTTTGTGACAGCTTCCCTTACAAATGTTTCATAAGCAGCTCCTCTGTCTTAAAGGAACATCAGAAGAGTTTTTTTGACAAAACAGTATAAAACCGCATTCTCTACACATGGCCAAGGCAAGAAAGTAAAAGGTACTGGTACTAGATTGTCCAGCCTTTAACTGCTGACATGTCCAAAGAGGAGAATATGTGTGGAATTTTCATTTAAAAATGAAAGTGAAAACATGCTCTTGTTTTGTTTGCAGGAAGAATTGAAAAATAATAAGTTCTAAATGCTTCATTTACTGGTGTCCCTGAGGCCACAACACCTTTTAGGTGTTGAATTGATGCTGACATGACAAAGAAGAGAGAGCCTTACTACTTACTTTCTGGTTTGTTTGCCACTCTCAAAATAAATGCTTAACAACAAATGAAATAAGCCTATAAGAGAGCTGAGTAAAGTAATTACTGTTGTATATTATGTTCAAAAGAAAACCAGAGTATCTTGATGTTACAATATGTACAATTAATGGGTCGTAATTTAGTTTGATGGTATGCAAGGCTATTTTGTTATCTTGTAAAACATGCCAACTTTGATATTATTCATATTTGTTCATAGAAATTACACTTTTTAAATATCCCAACACTGCTGTTTGAGATCCCTTTCCTTGTTATTTCTTGGATTTCTGAATAGGAGATGATTATAGTGCTTTCGTTATATTGTGATTGAATACAGAGAGAAAACCATAGTGAGCTGGAGGCTTTATTAAATAGTTGTACCAAAGAACTGAAAACTTTGAATACATCTTTGAAGTTCTTTTAACTTCCACATAAAGGTTTCTCAATTTGGATTATGTTTTGAAGCACAGAAAAGCAGAGCTGACAGTCACTGAATGAAAATCAAACACAGATATATAGAATCTTGTTCTGCAGCAAAACCATACAGAGACCAATAGGATTTTAGACGAGTGATAACATTTTGTTGTTAAAAAACAAAACAAAAAACTAAGGTATAACAAGAGGGTAATTTAGCAATCAGAAGGCTTCAGTTCTTCATAACAGCTGTAAATTAACACTTAACAATGTGGGAGTGTCAGGACTCCAGTCTGTGTGTTTGTCTTTTGTGTTGTTCTCCCTTCCACCACCAGGAGGTGCCTGGTTCCGGTCCGCCTCCTCACACACCTGCTGACGGTTACCTCATTATCAGAGTGTTCTTAAGCTGCTGACTGCCACTACCTCTACGCCAGAGTGTTAGCCAGTTTTTGGTACTCTAGCCAAGCTGAATTTTCATTAAGTAAGACTGAGTTCTTGTCTCCCTGAGATTTAACTTTGTTTTTGTTTTTGCCTCTCGGCAGGAAGTCATCCTGCAAACTCGACCTTTTCGGACCTCCTCTCCCAGGAGGGATCAACTGAGTCTTAAACTGAGCAAGGGATTCAAACAGGAGGTTTGGATCCAGTCTCATTTGAGGACGCTGAAATTACTCTCTGAGCAAGGGAATCATCTTCACCACGACCCGTTCAAGTACAGTAGGAAATCTGAGTGGCAATCACCGTCTCCGTCCATCTACACCGTCCGAGTTCTGGGTAAACCCTGTTCCGCCCTCCACCGAATCAGACATACTCTGGAAAACCAACACACAGATTGGAGTCAAGGATCCTTCACCTCTCTGGAAACGTGAGTCAACAAACAGAACCTCTCCTTCAAGATCAACGAATCAAATTTCCCACTGAGCCTGAACTAACAGTCTGTCTTCCCCTCACCTTCCAGTTCCGGCTGAGCAGAGTACCGAGAGACTCTGCACCAAGCTTAACCTCTTCAATAAAACCTGTTGAACTTTTCATCTGTGTCTCTCTGTTTGGTTTCACTGCATGTGGGGCCGAGCCTTAGATAAAATCATGACAGGGAGAGGTTATTTGGTTGAGGTATCACAAAATCTTAACTTATTTGTTAGAAAACAACTGTTGATTTAATCTACCCTCCTAGATTTTCTTGATGTCTTTAGTTTTTTGACTAATGACATTCTTAATTTTAAACTTACTTTTAACATCAAGCTTTAATTGAATTAATTTTTCCATTTTGTTATAAAAATATGTGATGCAATCTGCCGACTTGCCTAACAAGTAAATACGACCGTTCTGTATGTAGTAATATAATATCTGTAGTAATACAGTTGACAGCCTGAAGACAACGACAAGAATGTTTGAAATGTTATTGATTGTTGTCATGTCACTACCATCAGCTGACACCTGTACACTCGTCTTATTACACATTTCAGACAGTGGAGGACATCAAACGCATCCCTACTGTACCATGCATATGCACTTGCCTAAAGAGAAGTAAAATCTCAGGAAATTTACCTAAGCTGTTTTTTGCTTAGCTGCTGTGTGTCGGGTTACGGAGAAATTTGTACAGCTGTGCTTTTTTTTCTGTATATATGCCTTCAGTTTTGGGGAGTTATGTATATAGTCCAATCTATGGATGGATGGATGGATGGATGGATGGATGGATGGATGGATGGATGGATGGATGGATGGATGGATGAAACCAAGCTGGCTGACACACAAGGAAAAGTCCAAATACCTTGTCTATTTCAGTTTCTACAGGGGAGTAGAGAAAACACCATTCCAACAGAATACCATATAACAACTGTAAAACTAAATTACAACTATATCTATACAACCTCTTTGTTTGTATATAGATTTTTTTTTTTTACAGTATAAAATGAATAAAGTACACTTGAGCGGACAGGTAAATATTTCTTCATAGAAAAAAGATATAAAAAAACATTAAGAACATTAGAACATTGTTTTACATTGTTAAGGGTCTATAAAACAAATAGTAAAACAAAATCCTGACTGAGTTTATCATAACTCATGTATGAAAGGATATATGAAATTGTGTTTTAGAAGGCATGGTGTTACCCATGGCGATGGTTATACATGAGGGTTTTAAAGCAAGCAGCCATTCTCTCCTATTCCCAGTACTGCATACCACCATTGACTCTTTTATGTTTGGTGTATTGTCTATTGTAGACAAACAATGAAAGACGAGGGCTGTAGGATATTCATAGAAAAAATGTTGTGGTCTTGAGTCACACAACGAAGCAGGCACTATATTGCTGTTTTTAACATCTTGTTACAGAAAATGACTGGCAATGATAATCTAACAGTGGCTCAGACTTAGAAAGACAGCTGCTATAACCCATGTCTACTGATCAGCCAACGGAATAGAGCTGCTGCTGGAGATGTGCCACTTAAAAGTCAATTAAAAAAGATAATTTCCAGGCAATCTATTTTCAGGATATTGTGAGTATTTATATTGGAAAGAAATAATGAATAAGTGAATAAAACAACAACCAATATATCATATCATCTGAAAAATTATAGGAGTAGTTATAAATCTAAACCACTTATTGATGAATAGCGTGAAAATGTACAGTCTTTGGGATTAGTTCAAAGCACTAGCAAATAACTAGCCAGAATGCTGGGAATCTACCATTTCACTGAAACATGGCTCCAGGATCATAGACTTAAATTCGGTCAGGCTTCCTGAGTGTTCAATCAGACAGAGCTTTAAAGAAATGCGTGAACAAAAAACGAGGTGGATTAGCCGTACATCTGAACAGCTGATGAGGTAATTCAGGAGTTGTTTTTTTTTTTCTTGTCTTTGAAAAAAATTCTCAGCTGCTCTAAAAACAACAAGAACAAAAACCTCTGGACTGGTTTTTGCATATGATAGCAGCTTCACCTCATCTGTTCCTGTTTGGCTGTGACACCATCCTGGAAGGAAATACAGTATCAGCTGTGCTGCTGCCATCAATACCTTTGTTTATAGATTTTCGAGATCGGCCTGTTTTTAATTTTGTCTATTTTTCTGACTGTGACAGGCTGGATGTGCTCTCTTCATCCTCTGACATGGGACGATCGGAGCTTGTCTGCCTGGCTGTATATTTCCTGGATGGGGCCGCCTTTTACAGTTACCTTTTGCATCTCTGCTTCTGTCTCCTTGAACCCCAGTCGGCCTCAGCAGATGGCCGCTCACACTGAGCCTGGTTCTGCTAGAGGTTTCTTCCTGTTAAAAGGGAGTTTTTCCTCTCCACTATCGCTACAAGCATACTTAGTGGGATTAATTGCCTTCGAGTCAATGAGTCGATGCAATCAGCTGGTTTTCCTTAGATAGAAATCTTTGAATCAATCTGACTGGATGATCTGGTGAACTGTAAATTGCCTTGAGATGACATGTGTTGTGAATTGGCGCTATAGAAATAAACTCAATTGAATATGATAAATGGCTTGCAAAGCTTCATCCTGCATTTAATTATTGATCTATACACACACATTTACATGACTTTATATAAATGTCAAGGACTCATACATCTCTTTAATAAGTCTGCCTTCTGGTGAATAAGATCGCAATGTTGATTTCTCTGCTTAGAATATAATGCCCTTTTCAGAGGTCACCTGCAATCAAGATAGATGGTTAGTTGATTAAAACGTAATCCTCTCCAAGGAGAATGATAAACTATGCTTTCTGTCCCTCAGTTTGTTTTTCTGTTTTTTTTTTTACTATTTATTTATTTATTTAAATAACTTTTCATAATCTTTCCACGTCAAATGTGGGAATTTTATTTCATTTGTGTATTGCATTGAGACAAAAGTGAAAAAATATCTGCGCAATCTGTCTAGTCGAAGCCTCTTTTTATGCAGTCAATGTGACAAAATCGGATAAGAGAACGGAATAAACAGCTTATTAATGTACAAGATGCTAACGAAATGAGGCACATTTTAGTGCCTATTTAATGCAGTCTAATGACTACATTAATGAACTTTGATGCATATTTTACAATGGGGAGGTTTAGTCTTCCTAGTAATCAATAAGCAATCCCTACTGGTTGGCCTAGAGTCTTTTTCTTGTAAACGACCACATTCACATAGCTTTTTAATCAATTTACTTCTTGGCTGAATGATTAGTTCTTCTTTACCTTTTGGTCCCAATTCTGCCAAATAAACTGCAAATGTTCAGAAGAAATTATTCAGCAGCTAAGCTCCTCTTCCTGTTGTCTTAATGTTTTACCCACAGGTTTTATTAATAAGATTTTTAACACCTAATGTGTCAAACAGACTGACTGACTTTATGATTGTTCCCTCAGAACTACAACAGAACTCTCCTCACTGAATCGGAAAATTAAACAGAGTGAATGGTTTTAAGAAAGGCAGGGACAGAGAAAACTCAAAGTTTTTTGCCACCTCCAGAAGTTCTTCGATGACTCGGCCATTGTGAGCTGTGTTTCTAAGGGGAACTAGCTCAGTACACAGTAAATGTTGCAGTCCCACAGTAATTAAGATTGGGACCAAATTTACTCTTGAGTGTTACCTTAACTCTGCAACATTTACTGTGTACCAGTCGGTCAATAGACTTTTTGGTGTGGTATGAGAACACGCTGCCTGTGTCTTAACACCAGTAAGACCAAGGAGACAGAGACAACTTCAGGAGACATAAAGAGACTGAACAAGCTGGTGAGGACAGCCACTTCTATCCTGGGCTGCACTCTGGACTCTATGGAGGAAGTGACTGGGAGGAAGGTGTTGTCCAAGCTTCATGAACAATACCTTTCCCCCCCTGCACCAGACTGTAGAGGAGCTGAGCAGCTCATTAAGTAACAGACATCCCCGTATTTTAAAAGGAGTGCTAACACAGGTCATTCATCCCTGCTGCCATCAGACCTTAAATGCCACTGCAATATAACCTAGTTTAATAAAACTGCAATAACTTATACTATTCATCTGTTTAACGAACCAGAAACTGCACTTTACCTGCCAACTATTTAATGTAAACTATGCTGTATATATAAGTCAACTTAAATCACTCCTTTATTTTTTACAATCCATTATATATCTTGATGCACTGTATAAACTTCATTCACCTTTTCCTCCTATATGTTCTTTCTGTTTGTTTATAAGAGCCCATGTCATAAGCAAATTTCTCCATTGGGAGATTTTTAAAGTTCTATTCATATATTTATATATTCCTGCTCGGTGTTTCCTTTACATAGAAAAATTAAAACCAATCTAATTGTATGAACTGGTTGATTTCTCTCTGATGTACTGGGTATTGGGATCTGAGACTTAAAACTCAGTTTATCATAGAGGTTCATGGTTAATATACTTGGAGTTCTTTATTAAACAATGCTTTGTGAAACTAATCTCAGGTTTATACAATAACCCAATATAAATCATAGAATATTCAAGTTATAGAGTATAAAAATATTAAACAATTATGGCTAAAGCATTATTCAATAATTGTTAATTAAAGAGACCAGAGCCCTCCTGCCTAAACATTTTCTTTCCAAAGTTAAATAAATAAAATTGAGTACATATTTTAACCAAGAGCATGTTGCAGCCTACCATTTTTGATGACCAGTGATGTAGAGGCAGAGCTAAATGGTCCAGAGGTCTCACTTGTTTCTGGGCTGGAGGAGGTTGGGGGACTCCGACTCCAAGGGGTTATTGGAGCCCTCTGGGAGGGAAGGAAGCTGGTAGGCTGAGAGCAGTTCTGCAAAATACATAAGTTTCTCAATTACAACTGTATTCTGATTTTACAAGTTTCTTACTCTTTCAGCTTTTCAGAAAAAAAAACATAATTTAATGTTTATCAATGATAAGTAAACAGAAAATCCATTTGTTAATTGTTGAGGTCATTAATTTAGATAACAAAGCTATCCTAATCCATCCGACCTCATTCAATTTGTTATTGCCTCCTTCACTGTTAGAATAGACACATTTCCACAATAATTAACAGTATTATTTTACAGTAACTTGTTGTAGCTGATTTCTTATTCTACAGTAAAAGAACCTGCCACGGCCCCATGGGACCTCAACACTAGGGCTTCTGGGGTCAGGCTTCTCAGAGACTATGCCCCTTTTGGATTTGGCCCAACTGGGGTCGGGTCCGAGGTGCTCTTGCCTGCTTTTCTCTGGTGGGTTTGGCCGTCCTAATACCTGGAGCTCAGGTCCCCTCTTTATCAGTCCTTGGCCCTATAGGGTGAGTCTGTAGTCACCCACACCTGCTATTGAGCATCTTTTCCTTCTAAACAGAAGTATTTCTGTCTCTATCTCTTTCTCTCCCCCCTTTATTCTTGTGCCCTGTCCCTTTCTCACGTCCCTTTCCATCTCTGTGTCTGTGTTTGCTATTTTATTCCCTAAATCATTTTCACAAAATCTTCACATATAAGTCTAAGTGGAATCTTATCGCAAAAAACATAATTGTCTGCTTGGAAAACAAAATCTGTTGGGCTATAATCTAGGTCTTGGATTGGCAAAACATGACACAAACAGAAAGAAAACCCCAAAAATTAACCATTTTGTGTTCATACCAAACCGTAACCTAAACTCAAGTGACAAATAGTCCTTCAGTAAATATGACCCCCTGTGGAGTCCAGACACTCAACAAGGAACAGTTGCTCTCTACAATGTGCTATTCTTTTGGTAGAAAATAGGCAAAATGTGTTAAAAAAAATAAAACACACACAAAATCACATTTCTATCCATATTAAGACTTCCATTCATTATGCCTAACCCTGACATTTACCCTAACCATTATCATTATATTCCTAACCCTTACCCTAATCTAATGTTAATTTACATCATACCCCAAACTGACTCTCTGCGATTACAAATGTAGGTCCACCACATTAGGACCAGCTCTCAGTCCAATAAGGCCTGTTGGTCCTCGGATGGTGAGTAAATATATCAAAAATGGTCCTAAATAGGTAACATAAACAAGTACACATCCAAACTTGCCTCTCTATCTTTGTGGGGCCTTTCCCCTGACTTCCATTAATTTCTACGGCCTAACCGTGACCCTTACCCTAACCCTAGACATTATGGGTTCATACCTAACCCCAACCTTAACTTAATTCTGACCCTGACCCAAAAACAGCAATTCCCATCATGGGGTTCTGGCATTGGGTCCCACAAGGAGTGGTCGGTCTCCACTACGGTCTATTTTTCCAGAAAATGGGCCACTCAATGCGTTAAGGTTAGACTCACTGTTTATTATTTAGATAAAATAAAGGGACTGAGAAAAAAATGTTACAGTACATTCAAATCAGACTATCATTTGCTTGATGTTGAAAACACATAGTAAGATTTTTTTGACATAAAAATAAGATAATAAATCCATGAAGACATATTTTTTCACAGCAAGTATGGATTAAAGGACTGTGAACCCCCTTACCGTGAAAGACAGAGCCTTTCTCTTCTCTTTGATCCTCTTTATGGCATTTCTCACCTAAATCAGATACAGACTTAATCCCACATACTATTTCATACACATTGTACAAAACACTGCATTTTGATAATATGTTGCTGATCCAGCAGCAGCTCTAACAAAATACAGGAATGTCATCTTACCTCACTGTTGTAAACAGCATACACTATGAAGATATACAGGCCCTGTGGAAAAGTAAGTTAGAAAATAAGGAAGAAATAAGCATGAGAAACAAACTTTTATTGACAATGTGTGTCTATTTAGTGCCTCATTTTGCAACCTCTGTAAAACCATGTTTTTCTCTTCACCTACAAAAGGAAAGCATTTACTGGAAATTCATTGCTATTCATTTTGCCTCCAACATGAAAACAGTGTTTTCATGTTGGATTCAAAAGAGGCTGTTTTTTAAAAAGGGCACCTTATTTAACAACAAATCTCCTCTGTTTAAATAAAAGAGATAAAACATTCATCAGACAAATTATTTGCAGAAATACCCTATTTTTTAAAAATTGATATTTGTTGACCTTGAATCAGTCAAGACATTGAGATCAGAAGAAATATTGTCCTTACATCTAACTATCAATGCTATGTAATTCCAGATGTACCAAGGTTGGCTCTAATGGGAAAAAAGGGCTAACAAACTCATACTTTATGTGAATTGTTCAACTATGTCTGAAAAGAGATATTTGAACTAGTTTTCGGAAAACCTGTTTTATTAGGTCATGTGGCAGTATGTTCTACTATCAACTGCAATTAGAATAAACAGGAACCCTTAATCCTAATAATACAGTACAAAGGCCATATTTAAGGCAAAGGGCAGAAAAAGAGACAGAAAAGCTTTGTATGAAAATCAAAATAATCTAGGAGGAAAAGTAGGGTTCATGTGCTGCTCATAACATTAACTTTAACATCTGATCACCAGCTAATGTGTGACCACCTCTATAGAGGGTGGGGTTTTTAGATCCGTGTTTATATTATGCCAAGGCGGGAAAGACATGAGCAATACCCTTAGAGAACCAATAAATTTAGCCAATCAAAGTGCTAGAAGACAAAGTGTTAGAAGGTGATTTACATTGATTAACAGAAAGCAGGTTCAGTTTGAGGTCTTGAGATCAAAAGCACTCTGATCATACAGTAAGACAAGTATCTCAAGTGTTAAATTGATTTGTTTAAATTAAAACGATGTACCAAGAAGAGTGAGCCATAATTACTCCAAAGTAATGAAAAATACTATCTGCTAGCTACTGACAAAAAAATATAACATCTATTGCCCCATATAGTAGCATAGCCAAGTTATTGGGTTTGGTAGCCATTATTTGTCTTAAAGGAATAGTACACCCAAAACATGATTACCCTTCCTTTCTACTCACCCCCATGCTGAACAACACCCTGGAGTACTTTTTTGATATCTCAAATGCATCTGGAGATCTGGGAGGCTTCTTGCTGTCTGCTGACATTCAAATAATGGAGGTGCCCAGCGCCCGAGGCAGAAAGGTCCATAAAAATCCACAAAAAACGTTTCAATATTCCTCCATACTGCTCGTCCAATGTATTCCAAGTTTCCTGAGTCAGTAGCATCCAGAATTTACTCGAAACGAAGTCATTTAGAATGTTTTTAGAGCATAAACAGTAGTGTATAGGATTTCCTGAAAGCGCGCACCTGCGCGATCCCGACGCTACGGAAGCCGGCAGACCAAACCAGCGCATTCAGCTCAGCAAAGAACTCATGCTCTTCCTCAACACTGAAGTCCTCAGACATTTTTCTTTTGTTGTTTATTTCTTTGCACAGGTAAACGGCACATTTCTTCTTCTACGCTTGCATTATTGGAAGAGCAGACGATGAATGCGCACTTTCATCTGGTTTGGTCTGCCGGCTTCCGTAGCCTCGTGATCGCGCATGTGCGCGCTTTCAGGAAATCCTATACACTACTGTTTATGCTCTAAAAACATTCTAAATGACTTCGTTTCGAGTAAATTCTGGACGCTACCCACTCAGGACACTTGGAATACATTGGACGAGCAGTATGGAGGAATATTGACACGTTTTTTGTGGACTTTTATGGACCTTTCTGTCTCGGTCACCATAGACCTCCATTATTTGAATGTCAGCAGGCAGCAAGAAGCCTCCCAGATCTCCAGATGCATTTGAGATATCAAAAAAGTACTCCAAAGTGTTGTTCAGCATGGGGGTGAGTAGAAAATGAAGGCTAATCATGTTTTGGGTGTACTATTCCTTTAAGTAGAGTCACAGTGGCTTGGATTTTTTTTTTTCCCTTATTAACCTATTGACCATTTTGATAAATACAAAGGTGGGTTATCAACGCCTAAGCAGCCAAGCTAGTTTTTAGCCAAGAATGATTGGTAATGGGTTGCCTAAAATAATCTAAATTAGCGTGTTTTATTATCTGCTTATCTTTGTCTGATATAAAAGTTTGCTTCATAAACTAAAACATTAAACTTTGACCAAAAAAGAAGCAGGACAAGAAATTTGTAAAAGTTCAACATCATTCTACTGCTTTGCTTTCATGTAATGCATAACATATGGCAGGGGGAGATGAGCATATACAGATCAGAATTTGTAATGGGCCAAGCAGTAAGGACAGTCAGGCACAGGTGTTTGTCAAAAAGCAGAGTCCTTTTATTTAACCCAAAAAATAAAATGGATACAAAAATAGAGGTCGAAGGTACCAAAACTGCTCAAATATACATGTAACAGAATAAGACTAACTCAAACAAAGTGACCTCCCTTAATGAGACAAAGGGGTCCACAAAAGAAAAACATGAGAGTAAAAAGGAATGGTGAGAGTACCAGTCCCTGTGGTGCTCCTGAGCTGCTGGCTACTTGATTAGACAGTTGACCCTTCAGTCTTACAAACTGTGGTCTGTTTGTTAGGTAGTTTTTGATAAGGGTGATTGTTGATGCCTTCACCTCCACCCGAGTCTTCTGGAGCTTCTCACAAGTCAGTAAGGCTAAATTGTGTTAAATGTTTTGGAGAAATGATCCTCACTGGGCTCTCTGCCTTCTCTAAGTGGCAGTGGTTGTGTTGAAGCAGGTGTATGATGGCTTCTTCAACAGAAATAACTAAACTGCAGGGGGTTCTTATTGATGCTTATTTGCTTGCTGAGGTGAACCAGCAGGAGTCTTCATGAGGGAATGTCATGGGTGCCATCTACTACATATATATAACTTACACTAACATTAAACCTCATTGAGCTTTGTTTTTTTTTCTACAGAACATAGTGTTATTTTGATTGGCAGCATCTCCTAAGCAGCAGCTTGTAGTGTTAAAACTGTACATTAAAAGAACACAAAGCCTCTTACTCAAAAGCCAACACCAATATTTTTTTTTTCGTATTTCAAAACAAGAACATGAAATATAGCAAAACTTTCACCTAGGTAGATATAACTACATGTAACTCAGTCAATAATGTTTAAGATTAAAGCAGCCTTGGTTTTCAAAACTGACTAAAATTATGCTCCCTATATTTTTTCAGGTTTACACAACTGAAAATTGTTTACTAACCCCAAAAAGCGTTTTAGATTTTTTCATCTTTTTTAATTATAGTACGTGAGTTTCTCCTGCACAAATCATAGTCTGGCATGGCAGATAACCAAGTTCAACCAGATCATTAGGTGATCTGCATGTCAATATATCCCAGTGTGAGAATTTAGAAGTGTTACTGTAGAGCAATTTCAGTGGTTATTCAATAAACTCATGTTATCCTATCTTTTCCTCAGTTTCATTGCTTCAGAGGAAAGCTGCTGATTCCTCCAAATCCTCCTACCAACATGAGGAAGAACTCCTACTGTAGTGTTATCTGGCCTCAAGTGGACTCTGGTTGTAAATCTAAATTAACTAGCAGCTCTCTAGAGGTCACCCAAGGGCTAACTCATTTTGATTCATTGAAGACACTGGGAGAGCAAAGAGGGACGAGAGGGGTGAGTAAAACAAGGAAGGGACATAACAGACTGGAACGAGGAAAACAAGAAGGTGGGGGGATTTATATGATAAAAGGAACTAAAGGAAGTACATTAGACAGAGGAAATGAGTGCCATTTTATCTGAGGAGAGCTACATGTAGATGTGAAGTTCTTCAAAGAGTCAACATGTTTAAATGAATCTGATAGTGAAAACATTAGCCTTTTTAAGCAAAATGGAGCAAGTGAATAACAGCCCTAAAACACCAATATCACAATGAAGCAGAAGGGACTGTTGTTGTTCTTGAGTTCTTATTTTTTGCTAATGGTTACATGAGTTGCATAATTCAAAGAATCTCCCCACTTCATTTATTTCATAAATGGCTGTACAAAATTATATTTGCTTTGTTTAGTAGCTTTTCTAAAAATCTATTTTTTTTCCACAATTAATGCAAGATTCCATGAATGCTGCTCCAATGCTGTTTAATACTGTGTTTTCTGTAGATATTTGAGTGTATACTGTACATGTTTTCTTACATGAATCAAACACGCTTGATAAATGAAGCTCATCTGAATAATAATATAAAAAAAAAAGCTGCAAAAGTATAAGACCATGTTATTATTGTCAGGGTTGAGTTCTTAAATTACCCTCTGTTCCACCCTTGTGCTTGTTTTATTTCCCCTTGGCTTCTTCCTAGTTGGTCTTGCCCACACCTGCTCCCAATCTGCTAATTAGCCTGTCTTGGTTCAGTCTCCCCATATATACACCACTTCTGCAGTCACTCAGTGATGTTTTGTTGATTTGTTGATTCCTTGTCTCTGGCTCCCCACGTGAGTTTTCCCTGATGTAATTTTATTTTTGGTTCTCAGTTTTTTGTATTCTTGGATTACTGAGCTGCTTATTAAATCTGTAGGACTCACCTCTGACTCCTGGTCTCTGCATTTGGGTCCTAAAAAACCTCCACTCAACCTTGACCTTTATTGATACATGGCTCACACAGTAATGTTGTAAGTTGTTATTATTTTACATCCTTGAACTGAGGAAGCCTTTTGAGAAAACTCATGTCAAGTTGCCTACGCTGAAATTTTCAAGCTACATCCTTGTAGTTGTATATATAATATATAATAAATAATACATTTAGGTTTGTTCGGTATCTTATATTTTTTCAAATAATGTCAGTATTTACATGACACTCTCAGATTTTTCATTGCTCTAACTAACCTGTAAAGAATTGAGGAAGATGAAGATGTAGCTGAGAACCACAGACAGATGGACCAGTACTCCACATATCCATGTCAGACCCAGGACAGGTAGCAGGATAAGAACAGGACGCGTCACAGCCCTAAAAGGACACAGAAAAAAATACCTTCATTCATCACATACAGTAATGAGTGTAAGATAAACAGTCATGTGAACATTTAGGAGACCCTTCACAAGCTTGTTTTTTTCTAAAAAAAAATGTCTGATAGCAATTTTTACATCACTTGCTGACTAAAGTAATTCAAATAAACATTCACGACATTTTTGTCCTCAGCATGTGGCAAATACAATTTTAGGTCAGCAATTTCAGGTATATAAATCACAATTATTATAAAATAATATACAAATGTATAATAATACATTGAGATTCCAAATAAATGTTTTTTGAATATCAATCTTTTTTTCTGCAATGAAAATTACAAAGCACTAAATCCATTTCTGTTTGTTGTGCTGTGTAGGCCTCAAAATTGTTTTAGGTTCTCATGTAAGCAGTGTAATAATTCCCAGCTGTGATTGTTGCTATTTCACCAGACCTTGGATGTAGGAGTTTGCCCTGAAATCAAAGGATTGACGGTTCAAGCCCCGGCTCCAACTTTCAGTGTCGTTGTGTCCTTGGGCAAGACACTTCACCTGCATTGTCTACTGATGGTGGTCAGAGGGCCCGGTGGCGCCAGTGTACGGCAGCCCCGCTTCTGTCCGTGAGCCCCAGGGCAGCTGTGGCTACAATGTAGCTTGCCACCATCAGTGTGTGAGTGTGTGCGTGAATGGGTGAATGACTGAATGCAGTGTAAAGCGCTTTGGTCAAGTCTCCTGACATGAATAAAGGCGCTATATAAGTACAGGCCGTTTACCATTTATTTCTATTCTATTTATTCTCTTGTGCACATGACCCATTCTAACAGTGGCTTTTGCTATGAAGATAGCTGGTCTGACCTCCTCTTCTCCTGTGTTGACATCTCTAAAGGTGTTTGTTATGATTCTGGCTTAAATGATCTGTTTACATTCTGCTTCACCTTTGACTGCCAGGCTGAAAGCTGTTTCTGTCCCCCTGTGCCATCTATGCCCACTCCCAATCTGCACAACTCAGCTCACCTTATCACATGGACTTGTAAGTCCAATGTGAACCAATGATCCAGTTATTGCGGATGTGAGTAGATGATTCAGTGTTCTTTCCTTGCCTGTCCTCCTGACCACATCTTTTTCAGTTCCCAGATTACCATCTTACTTTGCCCTTACTGAATTCTCTAGACAGTCTTTTTTACCCCCTCTTTACCTGTGGAGACATTATCCTGCTGCTCTCACTGAGGAACCAAAACAGGATGTAACGTCTTCACCAGAATCCTGAGAAGGTTAGTGGCTTCTCCTCTGAGTGTTTTTGAAATCATAAAACTCATCCCAGCCACTAACATGTCTCTCCCTACCTAGTAGGTCTGGTCTGTGATGTTGTATTCTTATCAAGAGGATTTATTTTTTAATAAATCTTTAAAATGTTCACATTTATCTCTGGCTGAATTGTCCGGTCCTCAGTCTGTCTGGTCAATAAAGTTTGCCTAAATGTAGCTGTTATAGAAACCAATTGCCTGCTATCACTCGCTTCTGTCCTAATCATCTTGAAATGCTGCTGTCATATGCTACTGAGTGTTTACAAATAACTGTATTTCTTCAGAACTCCATTTTAATAACCTTGGTGTTCAGTTTAATATGCCCATATAAAAATGTGTCACTGTAAACATACAGTAAACCTTTACTAGGCTATACTCTAACAATCTAGTAAAAATGTATTCCATTTCTTTAAAGACTATTTCTTGGCTTGATTGGCTTTTATTTTTGAAAGCAGACAGGAAATGGGAATAGGAAAGAGGGAAGAATCGAACCTGTGATGGCTGCATCTAGGACTTTATTCAATTCCTAATCTGCTAAGTTTGTCATAAAAAGAAACCACATTTTTTAGCCCCTTTCCACACTTTTCTCGCTCAAGTGACACAAGTTTATGTAGAAAATGAAGCCCTTTAATAATCAAGGTAGAGCTAGGTACTGTAAGGTGGATCTGTAGAAAATTGGAGAACAAAACTGGGCTCTACATGTTTAGAGCCCAGTTTTGCATAAAGCATATGGTATCTAAAAGATAGAGGTGAACGCAATAACAGTTTTGTTTATAATGAGATGCTCACTTTCCATTTTCTTTTGCTCCAAGTAAATTACCCGAAATGTCTGAGGAAGATAACATGCATGACTTTTTGAGAAAATTGCTGTTACTGGCAGGGTGCTTACATGGATGCTTTACTTTAATGAAATTATTAATGAGTGTCATCTTGGCACAGTTTTGTGGACGATTGAACAATGGCAGGAAAGTTTGAAGAAGGTACTGTATATTTCATGGAAAAAATAAAGCTTAGCTTCAGTTGCAAGTTAGTGAGCTTAATTATCTTTAGGACCCGTTAAATAATGACTTCTGTCAGTCTTAACATCACTGTATATCTTCTCTGTTTGTCTTTGGTGACACCTCAACTGTAGACCAAGAAAGTGCATATGACTAAACTGTTTTGAGCTGCTAAGATGCCATTTCTTTCAATTTCATAGTGATATGTGAAGATAAAAATACTGAGATGTGCATTTATGTAAATACAAATGAAAACCAAATAAGTCCAACAGATGGTAAGTGGCTTGTACGTATATATAGTGCCTGTTCAAGTCAGGGGAGTTCAAAACACTTTACACTACACTCAGTCAATCATCCATTCATGCACGCAGATTCTACTGTTCTATATTACATAGAGTACAAAAGGGGCCGCTGCTTCAGGTCATTTTCATTAATTGATTTATCTAACTTCATCCTCAGACTGCAGGAATACTGGAACCAAGACCATACAATTGTTAACCTCCTCTCCTGCTAAAACAGATTCAGGGAAGGACATACTGACCAGTTTTCCTCACTCTACTACATTCTCCTACAACCCTTCTATTTTGCAATATTTGGTGTTATTTCCGTCTTTGGCTTTTTGATTTCATGACCGGTTTGGTGGTGGGTCAGTGATGGTCTGGCGAGGCATATCCATGGAGGGACGCACAGATCTATACAGGCTAAATAACGGCACCCTGACTGCTATTAGGTATCTGGATGTAATCCTTGCACCCATTTTCATACCCTATGCTGGTGCAGTGGGTCCTGGGTTCCTGCTGGTGCACGACAATGCCCGGCCTCATGTGGCCAGAGTATGCAGGCAGTTCCTGGAGGATGAAGGAATTGATACTGTTGCATGCTTTAATCAGTTTATTTCTTGTGTTTGGAGTTCTTTGTATTCCCCACATGAGTAATCTTTGCTCAAAATATGGATGTATTTATTTTATATGTTATATATAGATTTTTCCTCCTAACGTATTCATTCTCCTGCTCCTTTGCAACCATCCCTTCGGTGATCTTGGTGCTTATAAAGCCAATAACCATTTTATGGGGCAAGTAGAAAACATTGCCTTTGTTCAAACTACCATTGTTGTCACACTCCTGCACCTGGATAGAGAGATTGAGTTTTTCAGCTGCACTGTGTCAGCAAGGACAAAGCCGACTCACTCTTCTCTTTATTTCTGAAAGTAGTTTTCCCTCCAGCCTCCTGAATTGATGTTAGCTAGCACATACATCAGCTTGTTTGTGAGGGAATGAAGAGAAACAGCTAGAGAGGGAATGGAATGGCATTGTGGCATTTTTATTAGCTGCAGAAAAACATGCAATGAAAATAGTTAAAGGTGGAAGAGCCATTTTAAGGTGGGCTTTGGGAGATTTTAATTAAAGTGGAAATATCACATATATGAGACTTCAGAACCTGTCTCGAAAAAAGAAAGGATTACTGAACACTGTACCCTATATTTTACCCAATGACTGTTTGAGATAGGAAACAACCCATCTCATGACCTTTAATGGATAAGCAGGTATACATTTTGAATGGATAGATAGTAAGATAAAAAGAATATTTCTTGGTCATACTGCAAATTCCAGCTTGGGCATCTATGTATGTAAAAAGAATTTGCAATATAGTGCACAGGCTTTCAAAAGATTACATGCTCTTTGTTGCTGATAAGAGTCCAAGAGCAGTTGGACTGAGTGCCACCTGGGCTATTCCATTTGTAAACTTGTTGGCCGGGTTGTGTTGATTCAAGTTCTGTTTATCCTTCCTTCTGAAATGTCCTTGCTATTGTTATTAAAGTTTGAATTTCTGAAAGAACATAAGTTATGACAAGATTTGGCTACCGGGTCTAAACCCTCTCAGAGCTAAATAAGAGTTTCTACAAAGGGGGCATCCTGCTCATATAAATGCCATTTCCTCAAAACTCTGGCTCTATACTAAGATAATTAAGACCCAAGTTGATGATCATCAAGAAATGATGAAACCCCACATTACACTAGATCACACAATTTCTTTCTTCCATCCATCCATCCATCCATCCATCCATCCATTTTCTGTCATGCTTATCCAAAGCTGGGTCGCGAGCGGTGCGGGTGACTCTCTACGGGCGAGAGGCGGGGTACACCCTGGACAGGTCGGCAGTCCATCAAGGACACAATTTCTTTCATTTACTGTATCAATAAATCATATGTTCTTGTATTGTGTTTTTCTTTTTCTAAATTTCTTCATGGTGGAAAAACAGAGGCAATCTGTTTGCTTCATGCTAGTTCCAAAAATTGCAAAAAAAAAAAAAAAAAAAAAAAAAAAAAACAATACCTCAAAGAGCAATGGATGATTTAAACCCTAAAACAGCATGTTAACTGAATAAGATACAGTATACAGTACTTCCAAAAGCATTGATTTAAGAAGAAACCAGCAGTCAGAGGCACAAATTAATAGACTGGTTGTGCATTTCTTAAAGGAAAATTCCGGTTTTTAACACTTTTAGCCCATTTTCTGTAGTGTCCAGGATGAAATCGAATGATCGACACCATAATTTTGACAATTGGTCCTGTCTCTGCTTTTTGGCTCATGCAGAATCCCCCCCTGGCTGCTTCAGAATGGCTTCCATAGTGCATGTCCGATAATGTCCTTAAAACAACCTTAAACGTTCTTTTTTTAAAATATGCTACTCACCGGGTCGTCAGCGCTGTTCAATGACGTTCCAAAAAAAGTTTCGTAAAGAAAAAACGTTCCTGTAGTGTTTTATTTAGCATTTTGTAAATCCCATTGAGTTCTGTTGGAATAGTCAATATGCCTCCGCCACCGGAAACGGAAATGAGGCCTGTTTACGCTTAGTTGTAGTCTTTTCGCAAGGCCCAAGTGTTTCTGCTTCACTCTGTGTACTCCGACGTCGAGGTGCTAACGTCTCTGTTAAACACTTTAAAAAACTCTGAAAATGGAATACAAAAGGTGGATTCTTGAGGAGGACATATTGGACTTTGAGTTTGACGGTAGAGGATACCGTCGCCAACTAGTGGTCTGGAGTGTGCAACGCTTCAGATTCGAACGGGAAGCGGAAGTTTATAAGCGGTTGTGATGTATCGGAAAAAAATGTTCTGGGATTTACAAAATGCTAAATAAAACAAGACAGGAGAGTAGCATATTTTAAAAAAAGAACGTTTAAGGTTGTTTTAAGGACATTATCGGACATGCACTATGGAAGCCATTCTGAAGCAGCCAGGGGGGGATTCTGCATGAGCTAAATAGCAGAGACAGGACCAATCGTCAAAATTTTGGCGTCGATCATTCGATTTCATCCTGGACACTACAGAAAATGAGCTAAAAGTGTTAAAAACAGGAATTTTCCTTTAACAGAGACACATTATTTGACGTTTACTGATGGGGCTAGTTTAAATGCATTACCTCACAGCAACAGCTGGCTTACTTGCTTTCATGTACATTTCCTTTTGTGTTTAGTCAATTTGCTCAGGCCGTAGATGAATTCCCATCAAGTACATGGGCAAAATCATTGGGATCTTAACGCATGATTGCACTGCCAGAAGACTTTGGTTAGTCAGGTTTAATAATTAAATAAACCTCTCTTTTTATACCAATAATAGTTTAGTTCTGGAATAGTTTGCAGCTACACAAAGCAGAAGTAGGATCCCAAGAAAACTGATAGGGTTTTTCCCTTTTTTTCTCCCATGTGCCTCAAGCTCGCAAAAAGTGTAAACAAATTATTTCAGAATAAGAAGTAAAAAAACTTGAGTTTAGACAGGTGGTCATGGGTCAGTTCTGAGCACTTCTAGACAGTTTACATCATGCTGCTATGCTTTAGGCTTTAAAGTCCTTTCAATGATATGAGGTTTTGTGCAGAGTTTTTTTTCTTCTTAGTCATATATTTAAATTAATCTGTTATAAAGATAAGGGCTTGAAAAATTGCGGCTTGGGTCCCTGGGGCCCATGGCTGGATTCCCTTCGGTGTGGCTGGCTGCCAGTGGAGCCCATGGACTCGTCCCCGCGGCTCCGGGGGCTCCGGCGTTGCAGTGGCTGGGGGACTTCCGCGGGACCATCTCTCCTCCTCCCTTGGTGGGGGGTCGGATTTCCTGGGTTGGCCCCTCCTGGGCGCCTTTGCTCTTGGGGTCCCCTTGGGTGTATGGGGCTTCGGGTCCCCTAACGCTTGCCTCGGTGCTCTGGGGGGTGCTTCTACAGCTCTTCACAACCACTATTGAGCAATTTTTCTTTGAATAAACTTTACACGCACAAGAGATTCACTTCCATACAGAAAGCCCACATTCTTATCTTCAGCTACCACAGTATGCATGTCAGATTATATAATACTACTTATACTTCAGCGATATACAACAAGGTGTTACTTTGTTGTATATCTTGTACTATGTCGCTTGGTTGTGCTGTTCTTTTTACATCTTTTTGCAGGTAATTAAGCAGACTGAAGATGTGCTATCGTTATCTCCCTTTTATCTTTTCTTTCTTTATGTTTTTCCTTTCCTGATTTATTTAAATTGCAGAGTCCATATAATCTGTAATCTGTAATACTTCCTGCATGAATTGTAATAAATAATATGCATAAATCAAGCAGAATTCGATGGCTCCACTTGTAAAAGTAAAATCTGTTGGTCTCTTTTTGGCATCAAGACAACTATCGTTATTGCCACATTGCTGAAATATTTTTAATAGTTACTGGTCTATGCCTAGTCATTGCTGTGTCTTACACAAACCTACACCTAACAACACCCTAAAACCTGTAAAGGCGGTTTATAACTTTCAATGTCTAAGTTTTTCTTTTCATCAATATTTGGAAATGTGAAGGGGGATGTCAATACATGTTTCTGCTGAGTCTGTAAAACTCTAATAGAGTAGGCCACACTTGGCACATATATAAACATTTATGATCTTTAGCAAAACCACTGGCTATTATGCTCTGTGCCATAAACATAGCACCTAACGGTGCTATGATGTGTCATTAAGAAGGGGACACTGTATTAAAAGGTTGGGAACATCTTTCAAAATACTGTTAAAAGTATATTCAGGTAAGAAAACCTTTTCTAAGGAAGTCTTTAAAAGCAGCAGAATGTTGAAATATAAAAGAGCATATATTATGCTATATATTATATATATATATCTGGTTGAACTGCAAAGTGCCTTGAGATGACATGTGTTGTGAATTTGGCGCTATATAAATAAACTGAATTGAATTGAATTGAATATTTCCTTGTAAATTATTTAGTATTCCTCTAAATTACAAAAGGTCATCATGGAATCTACATCAAGCTCTTGCAACTGTTGATGTGAAAGCAGCTTAAAAATAGACTTCTTTAAGTAAGGCATACATTTACTTATATACACAAATAGAAATATTATTGCAAAGAGGACAGCTTTTCTCTCTATAAAAAGCATGAAGACCAGATGGAACTACATGGTCATCCAGGAAGAGCTAAATCAAAGCAATCAGATGGGCTTACTTATGTAGAAAAGTTTCAATCAGTCTGCCTGTATGCTTTCATTGAATTTTCTCTTTAAAGTGCTTTGTGATGACTTACTGTGAATTGGTGGTAAATAATTAAAGGGAATTCCATTGTATCTTAGGCTGGGATAAAGAAGAAAAACTATTGGAATGTCTGGAATAATGTTATGAGAATGAGTCTAAATGGAACAAAAGACGGAGGACAGGCTTATAATGAACCGACTTAAAGATTCTGAAAAACAAAACTCTCCAAGCAAATGTGAGGCTTGCAGCAGAGAAATGTGAGTTACTCTGCTGAAGCAGGACATGGAAATGTGAGTCTTTTCCAGGAATATGAAAGCAGACGCAGAGCTGGACCCATTAAACTGACAATGACATAAAACATACCAACGAATCCACAAGAACTTGCTATAAACAAAGAAATAAGTCCTGGAGTGAATCAAATGCCAAATATTGGTTTCACTGAAAGATGAAAGGTGACGTGAAATTGACTGGACATACTTCAATTATTCCTTAAGATTTCATATCATGAGGCAAAACTTAGATTTGAGCCACATAATAGTAGATGTCTCTAAACGGTCTCTAGGGAATCTTCTTTCAACCAAAAAAAGGCACAACTAGGAATAAGGAGGTAGGGTGTCTTAAGTAATCCTCAGATCGCATATCTGCACGGATTCTTTTTAATAACTAAGATATTTTTTTAAAGGTATATAAGTCAGTTTTTTCAGAGATAAATAAATAAGAACAGACAACAAGATCTGAATATCTAAAAAGGATTTTTTTCAATGATATGAGAATGGCACATTCATTTTAACTCACATAATCTAGCTATCAATCCTATGAATATAAAAAAAAAACCTGCAAAAACCTGACAAAAGCCATACTGATAGGAGCTGCATTGACTCCTTATCAATGATTTCTTCAGGACAGATGACTATAACTGTTTTATCAAACATGTTGTGGATCTGACCATTTAAGCACTGGCAGAAATGTAAAAACTAGGCAAAAAAACTCCCCTCCCCAGAAGTTGGACTGGAGCATCTCTTAACAATTTGTATTAATGGTACAATAAAAACACAGCTATGGCGAAAGGCTTGCAGAAAAGACAAACAACTGTGCTGAGGCCAGGTGTTAAGTTGATAAGCCCTTGTAACTCCCACAGTGAACTCTCAGTCTCACACACTGCCTCTATTGAGTACAGTGCTCCTCAAGGGAGAAGAAAAATACTAAGCCTGTGGGTTTGTGTTTGAGTGTGGAATAGCGTGGGTGGATGGCAGGAAACAATTCATGAAGGATGGCAAAGAAGTAGAGAGTTAGAGATGCTTTTGTATCTCACCAGGTGAGGTCGAAGGTCTGCATTTTTGATGCAAAGCTTGGACTGAGCATCTTAGCACGCCGATGAGCACTGGAAATGGTCACCATGACAACACGGCACAGCACAACTGCATTGACCTGGAGGCAGAACACAACAGGAACAATGACGTGTCACTGCAGAGCCACTTGGCCTTAAGCTGACAGGAGCATTCAACTGTGTGGAAATGCATCCTGCCAACCAAAACACTAAAGCAATCTTCATGAACCAGAAAATACTATTGTAATGCTTTATGTTATTTTGGATGCAAGGATATATATGTAATTCTGTGGGGAAAGTACATGCTTTAACTGTTTCTTATAAACTTCTTTTTAATCTTACTGTTGTCTGCTGGTGAAATAAGATGAGAATTAGACTTAAATGATCATGTTCATTCATATGTTCTTCATAAAAATAATTTTGGAAATATGTGGCTTTGACCCTACATACTGTGTATATTCCATATTTCATATGATTAACGTATTCTTGCAGTTGACTGTTAAACAATGCACACTTACAATAGATATACATACCGTCAAGACAAATATGACAGGTCCCACAAAGGCCCAGATAGTGTCAGTTTTTACACTTAGCCAGCAGTGATCATGTGCCTTGTATTTTTCCCCTGATATCACCAATGTTAGTCCAACTATGAGAACAGGTAGTCCTGAAAAACAAGTCATTGACGTAAAATCAACATTAGTTGTGGTGAAGCCACAAAGCCTTTTTGTTTAAAACCTAAATTTGCAACTATTACAGCCACAGTTCAGCTGGGTTCAGCTGCATATTTTGTCTCTTCTGTTCTTTGTTCCTGTTTAGTCTGTGGGGTAAAGACTACAGTAACACCTCAAGACTGTTTGTGCTACTGACTCACATCGTGTTCTCAGCTTAGTATACGACATAATACACACTAATGAATATGAGAACAGCTGCCATAAATAAAAACTGGGTTAAGGCTGTTGTCTTACAAAACATCATGTAATTTGTAACATGCAGATACGATTTAGAATATAGAGTAACTTAGGCTGCAATTTAAAATTCAATTCCATTCAATTCAGTTTATTTATTTAGTATCAAAGGACATGTCATCTATAGGCACTTTATAGTGATGCTTCAATCAGATCATGTAGTAAAAGTGATTAAAAGTTTTCTATCAAAGGAAATCCAGTTAATTGCATTGGGTCATTGACTTTGAAGGATAAGTTCCTCCTTGATCAACATGCAGCAACAATACTATTTTGCTTGGACTGTAATGTTGACCTTAAACAGAGCCGATTATGACATTACGCTTTTAAACGACCATAACAAAAACATGGCAAAACAAACAAGAACCTAACTGCGTGGGAAGAGAGAGCAAGGCTCAAAACAAGAATTTAGCCATGCAACCTAGAGGCTGCCCTGAGGAGCCAGATAATTTATCTTGAGAATGCACAAAGACCCAGACAGGTGTGATGGCTGTGTCCCATCAAGGAGGCATCCTGGGCCCCTGTGTTCAGGTAATGGTAATGGTGTCCAGGTGGCTAGAGATTAGACCTACCCAACTGGCACATTTGATTGGTGAACTGGGACATGGTGGAGGGGCTCACATTTCTGGTGCAATGGCATGTGGTGATGGTTTGCACCTGACCTGTGGACCAATGCTTGCCGTGGCTTCCCTGTTTGCTTCCACGAGAGAAACTGAAAATATGATAGCATGGATAAGCTAACAGTAGTAAACAAGATGGTGGCTGGCGATCCAGAGAAGGATGAAATTAACTTGAGGGGCCAGACAGAAGTTATCAGCTAAAGCATCTCGATTATCTACTTCCACCTCTTCAACAACTTCACTGCTTAGAAGAACTGGCAGCAGAGAAATCAACATTTGCAGCATTATCATGCATGTTGCTTCTACATAACCCCTAGGGTATTTAGGCCACAGTATAATGTTACTTCTTTCCACCTCACCTCCTTACCACTCTTCACTTAAGATCCAAAAACCAACCGGACACCAGGAAAAAGAGTGGCGGTGTCCTGGCAACAATGTTTATGCAATGTTAATGTCTCAGCAAATGGAGATAGGGCTCACCCTACCGTTGTACCATATACAGCAATGAAGCACACCAAAATATTGCACCAATACATGCAGTGACTACATCAGTCTATTCCCTATAGTGCCTGCAATGCAAAGACTCTGCATCAAGGTGACGATATCAAAGCATTTTTTTGCACCATGTTTTTTTTGTTTTCTCCCACGTTTACGTCCGATCACTTTAAGAAATGAAAATGTCATGAGCATTGCACAAAATGAAATTCTGCTTTGTATACACTCTGTGTATAGAAAATAGAAAGTCTATAGAAAGTCTATGTTGTCTAAGTATATTGATCTAAGCGGAGAGTATGTGAGGCACCAGACTCGGGCACCAGAACTCCCAGAAGGTTGCTCCATTTAATCCAACATTTCTTGGAGGTCGTTGGTTAAGGTTCATGGAGACCCATAGAGAACCTCATCAGGAGGTAGACCATGAAGTCTAAATAACCCTGTGAAGCTTTGAAGGCTGGGACCCACAGAGAAGCTCTGCAGCCAGGAACCAACTAACAAATTCATCAGGGACAAACATAAAAAAACTCAGTATATGTGACCTTTTTACAGTTCTCCACTAAGCCAAACCATGAATTTACAGAGGCCTATATTACACATTTTCAACATTTCAGAAAGTTAAAATAGGATACCTATAAATAGCTCAGTAGTACAATTCCTGTTTTTGCCAATTTTTCTTTTCTTTGAATAATAAGTATGGAAATTGTTCAGTAAATTAGTTGAGCCTTGAGGAAGCTGCTAGTCTGTGGCCTCCGTCTTCACCCTCGGTTGCTCTATGAACTACTGTTTTTATCTACTGAAGAACAAACAAGGCAGCAACATGTCTTATTTTTCCTCTCACTGCTACTGGGTAAAAACATTACCAGGAGATGTGTACAATCCTACTCTTGATGTGAGATTATTACCATGTCCTTCAGAGACACAGTGATACTCAACGTGAAAGGAAATTGTTCTGCATTTTATCTAAAAGTGTTTTTGCTTTATTTCTTTAAAATCTAGATTTTACCAAATTTCAAATATTGTACAAAAGACTGTCACATTCTTTTTATGTTGCTGTCAAATTGACACACAAAAAAGACGAAAGAAAGAAACTCAAGCTCATAGTTTTGCTAGTTGCGCAAACAGATATACATCTGCCTAACTTAATAGCAAAGCAAAATTAGAGCTTTTAAAATTTAGGATTTGTTCATTACATTCAGATTTGTAAAATATGGACATCTAACAAGTCCAGTCTAAAGACTCATTCTCCAGCTCACTCTTTTTTTGTATATTTAGCTTTATTTAGATTCTATTCTATTCTATTCTTTTCTATTCTATTCTATTGTTTTACATCAGATTGACTTCTGCGACTTCTAAAGGTAATAGGTGCACTGAAGTCCACATATATTTTATTTGAGTGAAAATGGCTGAATATAACTGCCCTCCAAAATGTACATATAATAATATAAAAGTTTAAGCAGTAAAAATACTTTTACAAGGTCAACATAGGTCAAGTTTGCAGTATAAATCAAAAGGCAATGTTATAACCTTAGTTCCATTTTTTACTATAACCTTATCGTCAACATAATGAATTGATTGATTGATTGATTGACTTTATTGATCTCATGGTGGAGAAATGTACTATTTGTATCAACTCAATAGTCCAAAAGAAGAAGAAGGTGCCAAAAGGAGGTATATATATATACATATATACACCGGTATATATATATATATAAATGTTTTCTCACCCCTCGTGGGGTAGTATGTGTCATCCTCAAGCTCGGGTCCTCTACCAGAGGCCTGGGAGTTTGAGGGTTCTGCGCAGTATCTTAGCTGTTCCTAGGACTGCGCTCTTCTGGACAGAGACCTCTGATGTCTTACCCGGAATCTGCTGTAGCCACTCTCCCAGTTTTGGGGTCACAGCCCCCAGTGCTCCAATTACCACTGGCACCACTGCTGCTCTTACTTTCCACATCTTTTCTAGCTCCTCTTTCAGCCCTTGGTATTTCTCAAGCTTCTCGTGTTCTTTCTTCTTGATGTTGCTGTCGCTTGGGATTGCCACATCTATCACTACTGCCTATATATATATATATATATATATATATATATATATATATATATATATATATATATATATATATATATATATATATATATATAAAAAGTATTGAAGTATTAAATGGCATTGATTTTGTTAAAGTCGTAGGGAAGCGGCTGTTCCAACCTTTGCATTGTATTTCCTCCCAAGTGGTGCCCGACTTTACACGAGTGAATAAAGTGAATGTGATTGGTCGTTTATCAAGGGGTGGAATTGTTGTGGTGGAAGTTTGGTTATGGCCGGTTTGTCGGAAGCATCTTGCTAACCAGTTAGCAACTTAGTGCTAGTAGGTTCCCAATGGGAAATTACATTGGGACCAAGTAGCACTTAGCAGCGACACTGTGAAGGAACACTATGGAAAGCGTAAGCATGCATCCATCCTTGTGAACACTGGGACGTAACTCAATCGTGAAGTAAATGATTCTTATTTCTTATTTCAACCATTGCGTATGTTAGCTGCGACATATGAATCAAGATGCTATGACCGAAAACATTTGATTGACAGATGACCATTGATATATGATTGACCGAATTTAAGTGTTCAGACGTATAACTAACTGGCCTAAAAGGTTTTAAATTGAAATTTTCTAACTTTTGGGACGATATTGTCTCATAAAGAGTGCATTTATATACATGTTTAACCCAGAATTATTTGACATTAAGTTATGATTTCCCTACGACTTTAGGTATAATTCTATATCAAACTGCCACTGACAAATGCAAAATTTTAAACAACTTATTATGGAAAGTAAAATTCTGATCAGGATGTTATTAAAAGTGTTGGCACACTGACTACCTAGGAACAAAAACAGTTTCCGAAAAGTTACCTTATTTGTAATGCAAACTGAATGAACTGCAACATCAACCAAATTGCCTCTCCCCTCTAACAAAAGGAAGGCTACTGTTGCCAGATAGAGCCAAGGTTTTCAAGCCCAAACATCTGTTAAAAACTGCAACAACCTGCCCAATTAATATATTCAACACAACAAAATCTACCAACAAAAGACTACTCCTCTTTTTACATTTAGAAGACAAACTACACGCACACATATGCTAAGATTACTTCTACATAACTGAAATAATTACATTTATTGTAGTTGATTTTGAATTCTTACCTTTAATGCCCATTGGATTCTTGGCTGGAACACTGAACATCTGAACGCTGAACTTTTACTGTGGTGAACTATAATACAATCCATTGTGATTTGTGATCAGTACATGGTCGAATGAAATCTCCCAAATAACTGTCAGAGAGGACAGAATTTTGCTGATGTCCATCCATCAAACTCAACAGGATTGGCATGCTCATGCGATTTCTGAAGTCTTTAAGCAGATCTACTTGAGAAAAAGCTCGTTCAACTGGTGCATTTTATATTTCGAGGGTGAGGAGTTTAATTGCACCAAGCGCTAAATCCTTATTGCAGCGATTTCCCTTAGCATCTCTTAAACATTCCTCTTCTAACCAGAACGCGTTGATCCTTAGCGCTAGATGTATCACACCAGATCTACCTGCTGCTAAAACTAGCATAATTCATGGCGCCACTACACTAGTTCTATGTTTTAAACACCCTGGCAGATGAAATTAAATATTCAGTGATGGAGAAAGGACAGGGAGGCTTAGCTATAAACCAGTAATGATGAATAATTGGTGGACATGTGTTTTAATTGGTTAACTCAAAAACCGATGATCTGACTCTAAACCAGTCCAAATTATCTCCACCCACCCAAAGCAATTTCTATCTTCAAAATCAAAATGAAAACAGCCCAACTGGGCAGTAAGCCGCACAATTTGGCAACACTGTCATGCTGTCATGATGCAAAATGACTTCCAAAAGGCCTGCTGTACCTAACTTGTGAAATGATGACGTTTATTTACATTTGATCACAGCATCAAATCAAGAAATTCTTTAACACTGTTCTCGCAAGTAAATTCACAAGTATAACTTTAGGAGATGAAAGTATCATAAATTGACCACTGCTTTAGTGAAGGCCGCAGAGACAAACATTTTAAAATCAAAATAGAAAGAGAAAATAATTTAGACAAGGGATGAAGCGGCAAATGCTCTTAAGAGGGAGGTGATTGGCCTTAAAAAAGGATTTTCATTAACCATAGACGGACCATTTCATATCCTTCCACCAGCACAGAAACAGACAAGCAGTCCTCTGTTCGCCTTCAGCAGATAGCCTAAAGAGCCTAGCTTTGGCCTGCCGTTGTGTCTCTTCCTTCCCAGGCTCCCTGGCGGGCAACTCTGATGTTAAGCCATTGCATCCAGCATTGCTGGCCGGCTCGTCCCGGTTATGGAGCTCTGTGTTCCCACCTGATTCTCTGCTGCTGCTGACTGAGCTCAGGAAATTTGTCTCCCCTTACCTCTGTTGTCTAGGTGTTTCTTCCATGAAAAACGCAACTACCAGTGCTTGAAATCAGTCGTCTTTATAATAACGAGGTGGTTGGTGGTGTGAGTATAGTTTACATAGATAATTTTATAAATCGTATTTTAGTCTTGGTATAATTGTTTATAGGCTAAACTTGTTGCAGTCCCCTTCAAGCATAATGACAGCATCTACTAGTTTGTCAGCTCTGCACTGCCGTAGGGCAAAAGATGTCTGCCTCCACAAATGGGAACCAACTACTACGTATTTATAAATAGCAATTTCTAATGCAAGGCAAACATAAACATAAACAAAATGCTATGCACAACTGTACCTGCTCCCGAAAGGAACGCCTACTGAACGAACGAGAGCATGCGCAAGCTCATTTCTCCTCACGCACATTCTGTTTAAAAGTTGATGTTCTCATAGCTCATATAAGCTTACTGTGCCCGAACGTCTGCCCTAACACCTAAATCCCTCATTCAGTATATAGAACGGGGAATATATAGTGGACTTTATTGTGAACTCAGTTACCTTACCATTCGGACAGATGATCACTTCCCCATTGGTCACGTAACTCCTCCTCCACCGACTACGCCTACTCGTTATTAGACGCCGCTGTCAGGTAGCAACAACCTATGACGACAGCGGGCCGCTGTGACAGCAAATCCCATAATACTTTGTGAGGAGAGCTCTCCACACAAATCATTCCAGGATATATCTGAGGCCTTCCTTTTCTTCCCATACACTTAGTAGACACTTTTTCTTGTACGATCCTCAAACAATTTTAAAGAACCACGGTGAGAAAGGTGAGCTTCAATGACTGTCTGAAACCGTAGCTCACCTCACATGTACGCCTGAAAATGCGCATACAAAGTAAAATTAGGTAACGGGACAAGCACGTAAGACGGCCTTACGTAAACATATCAGCAAAATAATAGATGATTTAGATGATCCACCTGGAAATAAAAGATCATCTACACAAGTTCATAAGTGATAATAAATAACACACATATATAATATATTACATGATTTATAATTAAATTATAAAATTTAAATATTTCAAAAATATTGATATATAATTTTTATATGTGCAAGATTAATATTTTATCTTTAATGATGAGTAAAGCTTTTTCTTTTTTCGTATTGGTGATGTATTTCCGTTTTAGGGCGCAAAAATGTTCGCTCATTGACTCAAGTTGTACATGGGCAGTAGCTCCTCTTCAATACTGTAGTATAGGAGGGCTCTGGGTGCACCAAAGCTAGGCCCTGAGGTAATAGGAATTGTCATCACAGTTGCAGTGCGGGTGATTGACAGGCCGAGTCACGGAAGGGAAGCAAACTTACCACGACAAACTGGAGGTGAAAGTGTTTGGACTTGATCAGCCAAACGTCAAAATTGACTTGGCCAACTGCACGACATGAGGCTAACGCTTTATTTTGCTGCCTTGACTGCCTGCCTCCTTTTTCATACGTCATGATCTGACCCAGCATGAATAAAGACAGGTAGGACTGATTTAAAGCACTTTTTAGAAAAGGCAAAGAGGCATGAACAATCTGGGATTCTCATGGAAAATATTAGAATAGTCTACTTTTTCTAGATGTTTGTTAATTTGCATAGTTGCTCTTAAATAAACACATTCTCAGAAAGTAAATAGTTTTTACATATAAAAAAAATATAAAGTTGACTAATTGCTTCTCCATTATTAAACTAGTTCATTATTTTTTTAGGTTTGTCACACAATGTTGGACCATGCAAACACCTTCTCAGGCTTCACAAAGCCTCAGAAGGGCAAGATCTATGTACAAAATGTAAACCTGTACATGACAGTATGTTTGTTTTTATAAAGTGTTTTTATAATGATTTTTGTTGTTGGCATTCATATAAATAAACTGGTGTGATAACTTAGTATACATTGGTTTTTAGTATACCTCTATTTTGAATTTATAGCCCCCCTGGAGAAAACTCAACCAGTCGCTACTGTATTACAGTTATGTCAGTAAATCGCTATAATTATTACACACTCTATTTTTAAGTGTTCAGATAGAAATTGATCAGTTTAAATAGATATAAAGAAAAACACTCAGTTTTCCTTTAAGTAAATATCCTTTTTAAGACAAAGATATGATTTCTGACCAAAACATTGATCAAACATAGTCCAAAGCTGATGCATCAATTAGCCTGTAGCCTATGTTGCTGAATGTACTTCAGATCGGAAGTGCTCTTTAGCGGATGCAACTCGAAGTGCATCATGTCAAATGGGTCTAACCTAGCAACAAAGCATTATAATTAAGATGGATTTTGTGGATACTCAGAAGTGACCAGCACCCTGCTAAACTCAGACACCAATGGGAGCTCCAGGTAAGGTGAAACAAGTAGAAACAAAAAAGTGTGCATTACGAGAATGAGCAGAGAAGTGCTGCAGTTCTGTGTTTTGGCCATCGGCGGCAGTATCATTGGAAAACTCCATTCATTATGTCTTTATAAGGGACTTCTCACTTTTATTAGACTTGAAAAGAAAAGACTACGAACAGAAAATAATAAATAGATCTCCCACATCTACTTTACTATGAATTTGAGTGGCTGCCAGCCAAATGGAAATGTCCAGGCTGCAGGAAACAGAGGAGGAGGCCGCCTCTGTTCCTGAAACTGTATTTCTTCTAACTAAGCTCCTCTCTCCTTTATACCTAATATGCAAGGATGTAAGGCTTAGTAATGTAGGAATGTGAATATATTGTTTTTGAAAGATGTTTTGCCATATGCATGTATGCTTTGTTGGATAATGTTTATATGGTTGTGTGGATATGTGTTAAGGAATTCAACTATTTCCTTCCATTGCAATGTTTTAGTACCTCAAATGGTGGTTCTTTTTGTCTCAAATTTTTTACATTTCTTCATTAAAGGTGCTTGCTTTACTGTGCCACTGAATTGCCCTTTGAAGTCCAATAGAGTTTTTTTTTTTGTTGAATGGAATTGAATTTTCAACAGAGCAGCCCTCTAGTACTGTTGATTTAAATAATAGATGGTTAAAAAAAAATTGTAACAACACTAATATTGTCCTAGTGACTTAGGCAGAGAGATGCTAAACATAACTCATTAAGATCGGTTTACCCCAGCCTATGACATAGTAGAGCTTCATCCTGCGGTCTTCACTGATGTTGACAGAAACCACTTTGCTCCAGAGCAGAAGCCCCTCAACCAGCATCCAGCAGAATGATGCCATAAAGGACAGGTGAAGTAGAGCAGTCACCATGAAACATGCTACCTGTATGAAGAAAAAACATTATACATAAGAAAACTTCATCCTGAAACTTCAGTTGAGTCTATTAAACAGCATGCCACCATTGTTATTTCTTGGTCAGAGCTGTTTTGAAAGGAAACCTCATGTGGTCATGATATGATATGTACGAACCTTTATGGATATTAATTTATTTGGGGAGTATTCCAGATTGTACACTTAAAATATCTCACCTGGTTCTCTGTTGCCCAGTCACTACACATCAGCAGCAGCTCAGCGAGGCCCAGAGCAACTATTAGGTTCTTATGAACAGTTGTTCGGTCTGACTTGGGGACTCTAAAAATATACACACATGGAAACACACCCAAACATGTAAGCGCTTTATGTGTGAGACACACTGTGCGAGAGAGGCTCTTGCACGTTTATTGAAAAATGTTTTTCTGTACTGATGCACACACATATCCACACAAAATTGAGTTTTTTATTGATGTGAATCTGGCTGGGATTTATGAAATGCTTTTCACCTTTGGTGTTTCCAAAATGCTCACTGTGATGTTTGTCACTCACCCCACAGCAATGAAGAGGATGAAGGTGAAGAGGAGGCCACACAGAGACACTCCACAGCCAATGAACGTCAGCACCTGCAGAGCTTTTTCATTCTCTGCGCTCCTCTGGCACAGTGCAACACAAAATGCATACGGTGTTTAAATACATACACATCTTGTTTATAAGGGAACCAAACTAAATCCACAGCTCCTGTCAGACAGAGACATGTTACCTGAGTTTCGTAAACCTGCAGCAGCAGGGCAAAATTGGTGGTGTGGTTGCAATAGCACACGGTGTATCCATAATGTTTAGACACAACCTCACAGCCTTTTGTATTCCACCACCCACCAGCCTCTGGCCTGCTCAGACACAAATTATAAAGTACATACAGTACATAGACATGCAAAAGAACAAGATAAAACTGGATTTTGGAAATCATGGAAACATGTAATTCGCTCTTTAAAAAAGAATTCCTACTTACGTGAGGTCAAAATCCCAGTATGCACAAACTGGATCATATACAGCATCAATGGAGTTCTGGTAAAGCATTAATATGTGATAAATACATATTTTGCAAATATGTCAGAAACATTACAAAGAATATATATATATATATATATCAGAGGTTTTGGTTACCTGTAGTTTGTGTTGGAGCTGGAAGTGAACTGCCATGCTTACTGGCTGGTCATCTCCCAGAACAGTGGTGGATATAACAGATGAGCCCAGGACTGTGCCCAGATACCTGTGGGGTGCACGAACACTGATGCATTAAATTAAATTTTAAAACAAGTTAAGTCTCTTGTCATTTTCTGTTGCATTGTAAGTCTTTTGCTGATATCTTTCTGCTTTACGTTGAGACTTATTCTCTTGCCATTCTTCCGGCTCTAATGTGTTTCCTTCAAATCACAAGTTACCGGCTACCCTGACCTTAATGAAGAAAATCACATTTACTGCATGATATTATCATCTCCATGTTTAACTGTGTGGATGATAATTTCAGGAGGAACAGGGAAAATCGATTTTTCAATCATTTTTTTTTACCATTTTTACATTATAAGTCATTATTTATGTTTGTAGAGGAACCCCCCCAAACTTTGCATTTCCCCCTATGATGCTGCCATCATGTACAAAATACATCACAAAAAAGGTGTTAAAACATTAAACTATATACATTTTGTGTTGTGTTTTTGTTGATTTTATTCATACAATAGGTTTTTAAAGTATTTTTTTAATGTTATTTTCCTTCCTCTTTTTTCCATGGTACATAACAAAAAAACGTGAAATAAACAAAAGAAATATATCAAGTTGTATTCTACCATATATATAAAGCTATTTTTCTAAATTAATATGTTCACCATTTGGTTCTTCAAGATTTAGTTTAAGATGGACTGAGAAATTGACAGATGACTAATCAGCCTGATTGGCCATGGAATTTTTCTCTGATCAATTAACACTCATAAACTCTACCAGATAACAATGAACAACAGTACTTTTTGCTACTATTACTAAGGGAAAGAAAGGGAAGACTCGTCGTTACTGAAAACAACATATACGCTGTAAGCATGTAGAACCATGTCTGTAGTTATGGTGGTTGTGAAAAAGTGATGAATAGCAGGAATATAAGAAGTCAAGAACAAAAGATGACTCTAAAGCAGAGGTAGAATTATTCTATATTCTAAAGAAAACTTTAAAAAAAAAATGTAAATTAAAATTTATACAGACTGCTGTTTTACTTATACTAGCTGTACTAACCCCCTGAATGGCAAAGCCTAGATTAGAAAGACAGTTAAAATAAAACATCATTAAGTTAGCATTTCAATAAGAGCATAACCCTTTTTCCAACATTGCTCTCTCAAACACGTGATTTGATGTTGTGTTTACTTTGAGTGTACTGGGCTGGGTTTATATTCCCTTATGTTTGTAAAGAGAAACCTTAAATGTATAAAAGTGGAGTTTTTTAGAAGGTCAAAAGTTGACAAAAAGGTTACAAATTTGATATTGGCCATGTGCATCGCTATCAGGATATTTGTTTGCCTTCCACTACCAGTGCTGTGTTTGGCATTTAAAAGAAACTGATAATTATTATCTAAAGTTTCTTCTCCCACAAAGTTATTAAGTCAACAGCAGCATAATCAAAGTTGCTATTTGCTATTAGAAGTAACTATGGCAATTAATTTGGATGACCTACTGGTTTTTATATTATTATTGAAACCTGAGCTATTGGTTCAGTTATAAAATGTAATATGTTTATTAATACATATTATTTTGTTAATGAATGAATTATTCAAATAACTGAATCAAGCAAATGTCTGGAGAAACTGCATTATTTTAGTCCTTCTGGTGGGACAAGTGACTTAGGACATCTATCAACAGCAATATATTTATCTAGATATTATTGTAAAATGCCAGAATCAACCATTTTCATCTCTGTTAGCGGTTTTATTCTGTCTGAGCAATGCACTATGGTCAACGTAGGCCTATGCAATACATCAAGAAGACCTGAGCACCATCTATCTATAATCTTTATTGGCTTCTATTGCTTCTTCCGTAATCTCCCCTTCAATAGAAGCAAAACATGGTTTTATCCTCCAGCAAATAGTGTGCTTTATATTTTACCACACAAATGTTGTAATTGAGTAATTAGTTGAATAAACCAGTTAATGAAACTACAATTGTTTAATGTTGTTACTTCTACCGCTGTCCCTTTTGAATTTTTAGTGTAGATGACAAAAACACTTTGCAAACATTTTGCAATCGTTGACGTTTATATTTCAAAATACGTCAGCATGTGGCTTAGATGCCACTTGACAAATTATAATCATTACAGTATTTTAGATCTGGCTTTTGTTTTCAGTCCAGTTCAATTTACCTCAAGACTATTAGTTTATATTAACTCATGTTATGCACTTCTCTTAAGATAGGCTTGTGCAGCTGACCACCTGGTTAAATACACAACCCCCAGTCTCATAAACTTTGGTTTGTTAACAGGTAATCTTTGACCAAGGCAGTTGTTGAGTTCCCCACCTGGATCTTCTGGAATTTCTGACAAAACAAATCAGGCTGAATTGTGTGAAATGTATCAGAGAAGGTAAATAACCAGATTGCCTATTTCATCCAAATGGTATTAAGGTTGTTGATGCAATCATATAAAAACTATATTTTAATCTGGCGGCTCAGTCAGCTAATTCAGGTGGGCCAACATTAGCCAATTTTGGACCTTAATGATGTTAGATTCTATTGTCATTGAGAAGGGATTAGCGAGCTTTCTTTGGTACCAGAACAATGTTGTCCTTAAAATATCTTCTACAACACTGGAACTGTCTCCATGTCAGGCTACAGTTTAAGAGGTGCTACAGAATCCCACAGAGGTGCCATGAACAGGTCTTCAAGACTGTGGGCCTAAAACCATCTAGAGCTGCAGCTTGCAGACAAAGAAAGATGAACAGAGAGGCAAAGGAAAACCCGGATCTCCTGACTGATTGTTATGGAAAGACTTTGGGTGGTGGGGTGGTCTGTTTAGCTAGGAGTAGGAGAGGAGGAGGATGACCTTGTCACTGAACTAACCAATCAGAATTCTCTTCAATCACTCCCTTTCTCCCTCACAAAAGCCTCTTTTTCTTCTTTAGCGGGTTATTCAGGTCAGTCGTGATCTAGGGTTTGCTACATAATAAGCATTAGTTGGGATTTTACTATCCCCCTAGTATTGATTGAAATTTTTATAGTAAGCCCACACCAAGTAATGGCACTGACATCCGCCCCAAAAATTAATCTGAAGTTTTTCAGCTTTCTGTGGACATCTTCTCATCACAGTTGATGTCTAAACAAGAATACATCTAGTGACTGAGATGGACTGATATGGGGGCTCGAATTGGCAACACACGACAAACCCAAATTCCTACCTCATCCACCGACACCCCCACACATGCAATACCTTTGCCAAACTCAAACCTTACTCACAATAATTTCTACAGCATAAATACAAATGCATTTTTTGTTTTATTTTTCGGCTGTAAATTGATTAAGAAAGTAAAGGATTTTAATTTACCTCTGGCTGCCATCAGTTACTGTAGGCTCCATAGTGATGTTCTCTTCTGGATTGAAAATAGGCCGCAGAGAGCCATACCATGTGTTAACCAAGGTGATCTTATAGAACCCTGCGTATTTGACAAAAAAATGTGTTTTCCTTGTGGCAAATTTTTAGCGCTTGTACAATAAAATGAAGAGCTACAGTAGATATAAAAGTGAGAGCAAGAAGTTCAATGTTATGTGTTCCTTTGATTTCAATTATAACATTTCATATCGAATAGATAACTCATGAAAAAAAAAAAAGAATGAAGGATTATCTTTTGTAAGAATAACCTACCATTGTTCTCTAGATCCTGTATCTTCTGATGTGGAACAGAAATGCAGTCCAGAACAGAGTGTGTCTCTGACCCCGGCCCACAGAAGCTAACTACCTTAGATCCCTCACCCAGCCTTTGCTGCTGTAGCTCCAGTTCTAGAAAAGCAAAACAAAAAGACGAGAAAAAAAACAGTTAGTTTGATTGCAAATATGACATTAAAAGGTTTAAAACAAAATTGAAAAAAACTTTTTTAAATGGTAGATTCTCTACTGAGCAACGTTACTTTTTCATAACAAGAAATATTTTTTTTTAAGTCATGAAGTTCACAACCAGACTGTCTCTAATCATTTTTAGGTTAATACATTTAAATAACACAAAATTCTGAGTGAGGCTAATTATCTTGCCAGTGGAAATGACAGCAAGGCTTACACTGTAGACAAATCTGTCCAACATCCAACACTATTGCCTTCATGGGACCTATATCCGACTTTTCCTGCAGTCTAAACAGACCAATCCTGATCTTTTTTGCCAACAAAGAATAAAAATATTATTTGCCCTCTTACAGTCATGTTGAGGACTTCTCTACTACATTGCAAGCAGTCACTGAAAGGCAATTGTAAATATTTTTTCCCTTTTTTTCTTGTCCTTCTCTTATGTTGATATGATGGGATTATATTAAGATCTGCTGCAAATAAAACACTGCTGTGTGAGGTCTACATTTTCCTTCTGCTCATTGGGGTCACTTTAGGGTCATGAAGAGTTCAGACTGAAGTATGATGGCAGTCTAACAAAATTGTTAGACCATGTAAAACAACTGGTATTTCAGGAAAAGAAAATTGATATTGGGTATTAGGACCTGTTTTGTGAACTTAGGGACATACATGTAACCTCTAAGCGACCTCCAGAGCACCTAGATTCTTCCAAGACTCAAATAAGGTTAGATTTAACTTTCTAAAATGTTAAAACGCATCTTAATTTCTAAATACATATTATGGATGTTTGCAAAGCAGGCTTTCCTTTGTGAAGTTTTTTGGAAAACCTAATATCAGGGTAAAAATCCTCCGATAGATATTAAAACCTTAAATAGCATTTATCTTTAAACAAAAAGCTAAGATAAGACAGTTATTACTCCCAGATATTATTCTTCTTTAAAAAAGCAAGATTACTGTGTTCAACTCATATTAAAACTAAAACTTGCAGCAATGAAAACAAATAGATGTGTCACAACAATTAAAAACATGCATCGGTAAGAAAAATACATCTCAGAGATGTATACAGAACTGAATCATGTTATTATGATGCAAAACATTTTTCTTAACTGGATTATGAGAATTTTCTGTAAACATTACTGACCAAATCATTGTGACCCTGAAAAGAGAGAGTAAAAATAGTACCATTTGAGGAAACTGCTCTTTCTGGAAACAGCCTCAGCAGGAGCAAGACGTGACTTTATTGAAGACTGCAGTAAGGTTTGCTTAAGCTGTATCTTTGGAAACTAATGATTAGCTTCACAAAGCTATCACTTTCAGGATCTTCATATATGTTAGAATTCCCCATCTGGTCATCACCCAGCTGGCCTGTGGTTCAAGCTCTGCAGGCTTTGATGGAGGACAGCTATAAGGAGCTATCCACAGAAATGTCATATGCACACACTTCAAATGTTCTATGTAATTTATAAATCGCCAAATATCTTTGAAACACAGATGTGCACAGAAGTGTGAAACATTTTATACATTGATAAAAAGTTATGTGTGATATACTGAATAGGTTATTCTACAATAAAAACTGTACTTGGGTTTATACATAGATTTTTCAGCAGGGTGAATACCATGCATTGAGAAGGTGTCAATGATGATCGTTCTTTACCACATTTAGTCATGTTTGAGCTTTATTACAGATGGTATAAATGAATTTATTTTCTTACGATTCTACACATAAGAGCCTGTTATGTGAATGTGACAAAATGTTTTGTGAGATTTGTGTGGCCCACACTGTGACTGTGTGTTGTTGTCAGCACAGTACACCAGTGCATTTGGTAAAATGAATTTTGTTTCTACACATCTACAATAGAATATGTATGTATGTATATAGAATATACATAAATAAATATGCCTTTGCATTATGATTATTATAAATATTCGATTTTAGTGAAAAACAAAATCGCTGTTTTTCTTTACATTGTGATATATCACAATATCAGAAATATACTTTTGTGCTTTGCAACATCTTCTTTTGATTTATAAACATTAATCCTTATTAATTTATAATGGATTATAGCTTATTATATATATCAAAACGTGTAAAGGGAAAGCCAGTCCATTTGAAATTGATCTGTAACATTCATGCATATATCTGCCAGAGAAGAAGAAAGGGTCATTTTGAGATATGTAGCTTATTTTGTTGCTATTTTTTATATCTCCATATATTTGGGCCAAATTATCGCACCAATACCCTTTCTGTTACTTACTGCTTTTGTCACTTTCTACTCAGCAAAGACGATTGAATTGCAAGCTTTAAACATGGTCCCTACCAGGCTAAGTTCATTGGGTCACTTTCCAGAGTACGACTCATATCTTTACCCAAATAACAAAAAATAAGCAAGACCTGTCAAGATAAGTCTTAGGTACAAACTAGGTCAGCTTTATGAAACACCCCTCCATTATATTGCTTATGTTGTTGTAGATAGTTTTGTTAGAAAAAAATCTCCTTTTATGATGTATTCACTGCAAAATTAGTGACATGACATACATGATACTTTCCTATATGTTTTTATGTTAGAAGTCAATGCTACCATTTATGTAATATATTCCCTCACCCCTGTGGATATCTTAAATCTTTCGTACAAGATATGTCACTGTTTTTTTTATAAGGATTTTAATGGTGAATTTAAACTTCAAATGTATTGGCTCTTGTTTGATTACATTCAATGAACAGGCCAGCAACTCATTAGAAAGCAGACATTATGAACCTTTCAGCAACATTAAAGGAGTGTTGCCAGAATCCAAAACCAAAATCCTGTGTTCATGTTAAAGATTTTATTATTCCTGAAAGAAAGTTGGGCAACTCACTGATATTTGGACTCTGAATGGTCACATGGTCAGTCTCTGCTGTCAAACTTGGGCTCAATTGGGTCACCATCTTGTCTATGCTCTTCACAACATCCATAGGGCCGTTTACCACCTGCAACCCAAAGAGTACCAGTGTGTCAGCATCAGCAGCTCTTACCTTAATCATCGTGGCCACAACTACAGTCTCATCAAAGCTAAAGATACTTTAACATGAACTTTCATTACAGCACAATCAGAAATACTTTCAGTGCCATCGACGATTTGCAACATTCTGCAGATTACTCAGGTAGGGCACAGAAAACTAAACAGCAAGGCCTACAATGCATGCCTTTTTGATTCTGCCATTGTCTTTTTCTAAACACGGCATTCTGATTTCAGTGTGCCCATCTAAAAGCTGAGCCTTGGAGAAAGAGCTAGGAATAGAGCACGGGAGGTTTGTGGATGAGTGGCAGCCTCAGTTTTTCAGAGTACTTCTCATCAATTGAGGATGCGTTGAGGTGGCCTTGGAGCGCTAAGAGGCTTGGGGGTTGCGGGGGATAGAAGGAAGGCAAAGCACTGAAAGAAATACAGCTTTTCACATAAGGTAGTTGTTGAATGGATCTATATTCCACACATCAATGGTGCAGAGATGCAAAAAAAGCCGTACAACTAAAATGAAGGAAAATACCATTTGAAAACTGGGTTAAAATCACACGTGTTGTGAGAATTAGAGTAAAACCAGAATGATTAACCAACATCCTGTAGGAAGATTTTAAGATGATCTACAATGTTGATCATTGCAGCTGATCTAATAGTATTGCTTGTGGTATTCACAGATGCATACTGTCCTCTAGTGTTTGGTACTGAATATAACAAACAGCTGCCACCAATGCAATATCAATGAATTAGGTCATAAATATATTCTTAGGGTGTGCATAGTTCACCCAAATCCCTTCTGTACCAAACAGGTTTCAGATAATTTGATAAAATATATTTTCTGATATATCCTGTTTTCTAAAACTGAGCTTGTGTTAGATATGCTTTTCTTCTACATTTAAAGCTATCAACTTTTGTCTCATTGGACCATCAAGATTATCTTTCATTTTTATCATTTTCATTTTGTAATGGACTGGGAATGAGAAGATTTTTTTGAAATCTTAGGTATGATTTTCTGGTGGAAAATTTTGCTGGACGATATTGCAATAAGGAATAATATAGTACTTCTACAGTGCAATGATTGTGTTAACTTGAAATACAAATTCTACCTCTGTTTTTCCAAATTTTAACTAGCAAGTCTCTGCCCTGCTTCTCAATCTTTAAGTTCTAATGCTACACTTGCTTTGCTAAGGAAATGAAAAAGGTGAGTGGAGACCGATGCACCATAGTGAAACCTTTTGTCATCCAGGCTCTTTAGAGAAGACACAAGTAAAACAAACAAGCATACCTGTCAGGTTTAATCAATGATGATTATAAAATTGTGTGCTTATGAAAGATTTTTGCACTCAGGAGACCATCCTGCCTGCTGCATTGTGTCTTGTGATGCAGTCAGGAGACCATCTTGCCTTGTCATTCTGATGGAGCATCTTGTCTTTATGAACTGATCAATTGTTGTGTCAGAACAAATACTGTTTTGTAATCATGTGCTATGCTCTGTTAATAAAAGACGGCTGCAGGAGGGGGTTCATTGAAGGAGGAAAGCTTGAAGTTGGGTTGGGCTTCTCCTTCCGCTCCTGCAGTACTGTAGCTGCTAAAACCTCTTTCGTGTGCAGGCTCAATTTCTATTTATTTGCAAAGTTATTCTTCCTGAATCCAACATTTTTGGTGCCGAAAACCCGGGAGTCAAGATCCAATTGTCCAGGACCGTGTGGGACCAAGGCCAAGAATCTGTCGACAGCCGTCCTCCCTTCGCTGGACGGGGCCCATAGGTTGGTCCAGCCCTGCCCTGGGCATCCTGGTGACGACTCCCAGAGGACTGAATCTGCGCAGCGAAAGGGTAGGCCTAAAGCTTTTGATCAAAAGTTGGTCTGGGACCATATGAAAGCTATAACTGGTTGTAGTCGCAAGAATATTTGACAAACAGGGTTTTGTTGTGATAGATCTGGGATCGGTATTCTGTGCGTATTGGGTCTGGGACCCTCTGTGTTCTTTTGAGATAATAACACAGTTAAGTAAGGTGCAGCTGCAGCAGAGATATTTGACGAAACCAAGTTTTGTTGACAGATCTGGGATCTGGATATCTGGTGTGTGTGCCTGTGTGAGAGTGTGTGAGGAAACAATCAAACCTTTCAGGTTTTGTTGTTTCATACTAAAACAGCAGGGGTTAATACAGTACAACTCTTGTGGATGCAGAGGCAAGAATTTCTCACCTGAAAAGGTAGAAGCAGAAATTACCACAACAGTGTTTGGGTGCTGTCTTGCTGAATAAAAATCCAGTGTGTAGAATACCCTAGGTGTTTGTACTGGACTAAATTCTTTAAAATGGGTAAAGGTCAAAATAAAATTAGAGATAATTTAGAATCTACGATTAGAAGTTTGTAGAAACTCAGAATCCAACAAAAAATAAACACTTGAATATATAGTTTGGTAAAAAAGTGGGTTTGAGGGACGCCTCTATTCCAAAAATAAAATTATAAGAACTAAATGATAACATAATAGAATTAAAGTGAGCCAGGGAGGTAACAGAATTAAAAAGGATGGATTCAAAAAGAGTGTAGAGATCATAAAGGGGATGAAAAAGTTTGTGTCAGATTGATCCAAGTAATTTAAAATAGTTGTAGAAGTGGAAGTAAAAGTATAAATAAATAAATGAGCTCCAAATGGCGAGTTGTTGATATAATACATGCGCAAAATAGATATGTTATTATTAAAAACTAAATAAATAGATCTAATGTTGTGTTTGTCCGGTTTCAATGTTATGTGTTTCTGTCTTTAAAGTTATGTTTGTGGGTTTTTTTAAGTTGTTTGTGTGTCCAAAAGATAATGAAACACAGTTTAGAGGGAGACAGCTTAAATCTGCACAAGCGCAGGGGGGATGTCATTGGAGCGATGACTGCAGCATTGTTCTAATTGACAGCCTTCCTAATGCGTCTGCAGGGTCTCCAAAACTATAATTTCGGAACCAAAATGTAAAATTAATAAACCCACAAGAAAATTATTTTAGTCATGCAAGCTACCTACAGGGAATAAAAAAAATTAGAGGGATTAAATAAGTGGATTGTGCAACCTAAAACATAGAAACGGCTATGAAGTGTAATTTGGACCATAATTGGGCTCAAGTGAGGGGCTGGTGGTCAGTAGGGATGAAATAGAACAATTGGTCACTGATGAAGAGGGATTCACGGTGGAAGCTGTGTTAAGCCAAGAAAGTCCAGTCAATCTATCAGGCAGAGGTCTGTTAAGGAAATTGCAATTAGTCTTGGTTCCTACAGACAAATGCATGTCAGTGAGGAGCTGTACAGTTTTTATGACAGCAGAGTTCAGATGCAGCTGACACACATGTGATACATTCAGGCTCATTCCCAAAAACATGAATAGTTCTAGCAATTAATGGACAGGCAGTTAGACTTATATGCGATTCAGGAGCCTGTAAAATTTGCATTAAAGATAATGTAGGACTAAAACCATCCAAAAGGCTTATTTTTGTAAAATCAGCAAATAATCAAACATCCTAGGAATGTATGTCAACCTTCAAACAGGAAAAAGGTTGCATGTTTTTGTAGTAATACTCACCCCATTAATCTGTTTGGATGGGAATTGATGGGAAAATTAAGCAATTTTTCTCAAACAGGGGGGCATGAAGGCTGAATGTGGAGAACATATAAATATCGTTTCAACAAAATCTTCTTGTGTTTAGATGCACTATGCTAGAAGCACATAGTCAGATCCACAGGATGCAGCTCTGTTAGTTGAACAGTAGACCGCTATGAATTTGTGCTTTACCCCAGATGAAAAGTTTGCAAAACAGTTTCTGAAACAAGACATTACTATAATGGTTACACAAATTATGTACACAGATGGGGGTTCTTAGGGGCAGTTACTGTTATGCTTGCTACACAGATGTAAGGAATGTACTGCTTATCATGGGTAAATCATTTGTCATTGGTTAAGACCAGTGAAGAGCAGTGGAGAGACACATGCCTGCGTTTAGAAGCTGCAGAAGGCGTATCTGATTTCTATCCATGTCCGCACCACACAAACAAGGCTGGCTTTATAGCCCTAACACAGAACTATGCAAGCAGCCTTATAAAATTCTGTTTAATACAGAAGCTTGGGTTCAAGATTTAGCATTTGTTAAAATAACTCAGCATTCTTTGCTATCACAATTTGATGAAAATGATTTCAAAGAGATCCCAAATACTTTGTGGTCTACAAGAAGAATTGATGTAGGACTGTTGACAACTATAGATTAAGTTGAAATAGTTCCTAATATAGGCCAAGGATAAAACAATATCTGCTAAAATGTGAAGCAAAGGAAACTATAAAACTAGTTATAAAATTTTTAGCGGGTGCAGAAATAAGTTTGTTGTTTGGGCCATGTTATTTCAAAAGAAGGTAAAAAGCTACAAGAATGTCTTTTTAGAATTGTGAAATTACTGTAGGGCTTAGATTCCACATTATAAAGAAACTTAGCTTTTCTTAAGTTTTTTATTTTTTTTATGACACACTAATAGCTATGTCAGAGAAGCAGACAGCAATTCACAAAGCTGAATGTAGAACTTTTCTCAGCAACTGTCTTAGCTTTGTAAACTTATCAAAAACCGTGCAAATCATGATAATCTAATTAAAATCAAAATAACTCCAATTGGGGAAAAAGTTAAAACAATTAAATGCGGTCTGTTTAACATAAGATCGCTTTCCTCTAAAAGTCTACTAGTTAATGACTTGATTTGTGATAATCACATTGACTTGTTTTGCCTTACAGAAACCTGGCTGCAGCAAGAGGATTATGTGAGCATAAATGAGGCAACTCCTTCAAGCTATTTAAATTTTCACATCCCCAGAAGTTCTGGGCGAGGAGGAGGAGTAGCAACAATCTTCCAGTCTGACTTACTGATTACTCCCAAAACAATTAATACCTACAACTCTTTTGAACATTTAACCCTTAATTTCCCTGATCCAAATTTCAAGGCAAGA